CGTGGCCCGGCATCAGCGGGCGCTGGGGGTCGGGCTGGGGAAAGGCGCGCGCTGGGCCGGGGGCCGTGCCCTCGGGCGGGGCGGCCTCGTCGCCCACCCCCGCGGCGCCCGCCTCGGCGCCGAGGCGCACGTAGTGCGCGGGGATCACCAGCGTGGGCATGACGTTGCGGTAGACGTTGTCCTTGAGGTGGTCGATGGAGCCGCAGAAGATGAGCGGCCCGGCCTGGCCGAGCGACGGCGGCCGCGCCAGCTGGTCCACCGACTGCGACAGCAGGAAGTCGGGCGTCTTGCTCTCGGCAGCCCCCTTGTGGCTCAGGTAGTGGTCGAAGGGCGGCGGCGGCGACGGCGGCTCGTGCAGAAAGGCCGCGCCCCCCGCCGGGCCCCGCCGGTACTCCTCCAGGCCCGGCTCCAGCCCCTCGACGGAGCGGGCGCCCTTGAGCCCAGCGCCCTCAGCCCCGCGGGCACCCGCAGGCTCAGCGGCCGGGCGGCTGGCCGCGCGCGGCTTGGCGCGGAAGAAGTCGTCCCGGGAAGCGGCCAAGTCCCGGGAGCTGGAGAAAGCCGAGTGGAGGGGGCCTGGAGGCGGGGCCTCGGGGTCCCCTGGCGAGGCGGGCTCCAGGGGTCCCCCGCAGATGAGGTGCAGCTGGGACATCGAGGTGGCCTGGTCTCGTTTGTTGCCGTCGGAGGGCCCGGAGAGCTGCAGCTTGCGGTGCTGTTGCCTCGGCTTCAGGCAGCGCCTCCTGGAGGGGGGTGGAGTAGAGAGGTACCCCCAGGAGGGTGAGGGCTGGGGTAGCTTCCTAACCCTGCTGCGGCAGCTTGGGGCCGGGACGTGCAGGAGACGTGGCGAGGGGGGCCCCGGCGGGGCTGTGGGAAGAGCTTAGGCGTTGTGGGGGCCTGGCCAGCGACCTCCCTTGGGGTACATTTGGAGGAGAACCTCAGAAGGGCCCCCGTGCACATGTGGCCTTTCTGGTCAGTGCCCTGAGGACCTGACTGTGTGTCTTAGGCATCTTTTGGGCCCACGGTGCCCAGCACAGACCAAGCACAGAGCTGTCAGCCCTGCACTGGACCGTGAACTTGAAGATGAGGTTGGGTCAGCCCGAGGAGAGGAGGCTGGGGGTGTCCCGGCACACTCACCGGCAGTAGTAGATGAGCAGACACAGCAGAATGAGCACCAGCAGAGCCAGGGCCGCCAGGATGGTCAGCAGGAAGATGGTGTGGTAGGTGCCAATGTCCTGGATGCCGGACGTGATGGTGACCAGCCCTGGGACCGGCAAGGGCTTTGTGTTCGGGTGTGGACGCGCCTCCCGCCTTTCAGCTCCCGGCCTCCCCTTCCTCCCAGCGCCCGCTCTCACCAGCCGTGGGGGAGGCCATGGCGGCCGCCCAGTACCCCAGCTGCGGGGAGACGAAGGTCCAGTGGAGCTGCCGGCCTTCCCTGCGGATCACCCCAGTGCCGTTGCGCACCCACAGGCCTGCGAGAGGGAGGGGTTCCAGCAAGCCCAGCGCCCCCACCTCATCTCAGTGCCACTTTCCTTCCCCCAGCCCCAGTGTCTGCCCCCACCCAGGCACTTACCACTCTTGGGGTCAAACCTCCAGGCTGGAATGCTGGTGCCCACAGTGAGGGCGCGAGGCTCTGAGGGCACGGGCAGGGACAGGTGAATGGGGCCTGACAGTGGCACCTCTGTCCCGTTGCCCGTCAGCAGGTGCACACTCACGGCAGCCAGGGGCATCAGCTCCAGCCAGGAGCCATTGCCTGCAGGAAGAGAACGCAGAGCTGAGGGCTAATTCCGGGGGGAAGGGACCCATTCCATACCCAGCCCCCAGAGTACCTGAGCTGGAGGCCTCAGTGCCCAGGAAGGCAGGGAAGGCCCGCATTTCCTGCGGGGTGATGGCGGGTGTCAGTGAGGCCCAGAGCTGGCTGTAGGTGGAGCTGACAGGCAGGCGGGCAGCGCGGCGCTGGAACTGCACCCAGGGCTGCGAGTGGGCACCTGGGTGGAGAGAGGGACTGCAGTGGCCTGGCCAAGGGCTAGAGCAGAAAACAAGTTTCTCTCTTTCTTTTCTTTACCTCTCTCTTTCTTTCTTTCTTTCTTTCTCTCTCTCTCTCTCTCTCTTTCTTTTTTCCTCCCTTCCTTTCTTTTTCTTTCTTTCTTTCTTTCTTTTTCTTTCTTTCTTTCTTTCTCTCTCTCTCTCTCTCTCTCTCTCTCTTTCTTTCTTTCTTTCAGATTTATTTTATTTATTTGAAAGGCAGAGTTGAGAGAGAGAGAGAGAGAGAGAACTTCCATCCGCTGGTTCACTTCCCAAACAGCTGCAACAACCAGGGCTGGGCCAAGCCAAAGCCGGGAGCCAGGAGCTTTATCTGAGGGTCCCACATGGGTGGCAGGGCCCAAGCACGCTCCCAGGTGCGTTAGCAGGGAGCTGGCTCAGAAGCGGAGCAACCAGGAGCATCTCTACCCACTACGCCACAGCACGGGCCCCAGAAAGCAAGTTTCTTAAGGAGAAGGGGAGCCCTGGGTCAGGCCACTTGAGGAGGCCAGGGAGGGGTGTGAGCTGGGAGGAGAGCCGGGCAGCCCACGGAGTGTTAGCTGGAAGAGACAGAGGCCTGGCGGCTGCGGTCCTGGGCCTGGCCTGTGGCTCTCAGGGTCCCTTGTTCTCTCTGAAACGCCGCTTCCTTATAAGCCCACACAAGGAGCAGGTTGGGATCCTCAAGCAGCCGCCTTGTCTGCGTGTGCCAAGCACAGGGCTGGGCCCGGGGATGCCGAGCTCAGAGAGACCCCGTTCCTGCCTTCAAGTTCACCCGGGGGGGGGCTGTCCTTTCAGCCCCTGGTAGAACTCGCTGCGGTGATGGGGTGTTCGACGTCGGCTCTGCCCGCTGGGCCCACCTTGGTTCTCATGGGAAAGACAGCCAGGGTAACTGAGGGAGCAGGTGCATTTTGAATATCTAGGAATTTGGCGAATTCTTAATAAAATTGTTTCAATTTAAGTAACTACAGGTAGCTAGCGGCCAGTGCACTAGACAGCTTAGGTGGTGTGTGTGTGTGTGTGTGTGTGTGTGTAGGAGGGGCAGACATATAAGCAGAATTCCAGAACAGTATGGTCAAACCGACATTTAGTAAACTCTAAAATGTGCCGGGCACTCTGCGAGTATTCGCCCTTTTAATTAGCATAACAGCCCCCAAAGCAGATGCCTTTAGTATCAACCCCATTTTACAGACACAGACATGGAGGCACGAGCCGTTTGGTCGTTTGTCCAAGGTCACCACGCTTGAGCCGGGGTTGACGCCCAGGCTTTCCGGCTTCCGGGGCCCCCACCCCTACCATCCGCAGATGCAGGGGCTGGGAGCGTGGCTAGCCAAGCGCAAGAAAGGCCTGTGGCATCCCACGGGGGAGTGCCACTCAGCCGAGAGAGACCGTGGGAAAGGACTCCCAGGGGGAGGGCTGGCAGCTGTGCCAGAGGTCTGGGCTCTCCCTGGACAGCAGGGGGCGCCATCGGAGGGCTTTGAGCTAGGGGGCAACAGAAGGGCCACCTGGCATTTCAGAGACCTCCAGGGGCTTTTAGAAGTCTCAGTTCAGGGGGCCGACATTGTGGCGCAATGGGTTGAGCTCCCATTTGCGACACCACCCTCCCATTGGAGTACCGCAGTACCAGAGTACCGGTTCCACCCTCAGCTGCTCTGCTAATGCACCTGGGAAAGCGGCAGATGATGGCCCAAGTAGAAGACGGGGATGGAGCTCCAGGCTCCTGGCTTTGGCTTGGCCCAGCCCCGATGGTTGTGGCCATTTGGGAAGTGAACTAGTGATGTCAGATCTCTCTCTCTCTGCCTTGGTTCAGGGTCAGAGTGAAGAGACAAAGGCTCAGGCTGAGCATGCACACTGGGGGGGGGTCCCCTTACTCCAAGCCTCCATCTGTGGCCCTTGAGAATTACCCATGGAGGCGGCCCTCTGCCTCTCTCTGATGAAGGCAGCTTTGCTGTCCTTTAGCTCTAAGAGCCCGTGATCTGACTGCCGCCGTCACTGAGTTCTCTGGGCAGCCTGGCCACCGCCACACGTTCCAGGCCTCCCCCCTCCACGGCGGCTGCTGCCCGTCCTCCGGAAACTTCCAGAGACCTGCAGTGATCTTGTCTAGACCCCCACAGAGCAGGCCCCGGGCCTGCTTGTCCTCACCCTTGCTCCCAGCACCTCCCACAATGCCTGGCGCAGCACACGTGCTGAAGGAAGTGGGAGCTGGGTGCGACAAAGCTGGTGGGCGGCCCAGGGCCGCTGCTCCAGGCTCCCCACTTGGTAGGTGTCCAACACCTGTGGAAGGACCTTCTGTGGCCTTCTGACAGATAGCCAGGCACCCGGTGGGCGAGAGCAAAGTCTCGTGGGTGCACAGAAGACACAGCTGGCAGCGAGGTAAGAATCCAGAATAGAAAGCCCAAGGAAGCCCAATCAGGGGAATAGTCACCGAACGCCTTCCACGCCCTTTCCCACGCTGACGTTACGTAATCCGCACCGCAACTTGATGATGTAGGCACTGTCCTTCCACATCTTACAGATGGACACTTTATGGCCCAGAGAGGTTAAGTCACTTGCCCAAGGGCACCCAGCCAGTATGTGAAGGAGCACAGGTTTCTCTCCAGACCTGGGGTGGTGGGGAGGGCGCAGCCTTACCGGGGGAGCCCAGCAGGATGTGCACGAGGTCCTCATAGAGGATGAGGGTGGCCGGCCGCTCGGGGCGCAGGTAGAGGCTGACGGACGCATACACTGTGGGAGGGGTGACCCATCAGCCCCGCGCCCCCTGCTTCGCGCTCCCAGCGGTGTCACCTCCCTCCGCGCCCTCTGCATACCCCAGCCCAGGCAGCAGCTGCTGGAAATCCTGCCCCCTCCACCCCCGAGGCGCCTATTTTGGGAAGGGGCTGATGGAGGGTCAGCTGTTGTCCCCCCTCCCCCTGCCCCTGCACTCACAAGGCAGCTTGTCAACACGCCAGGGTACAGAGTTGGTGAGGAAGCCAGGGCGGGCAGCAGCGACCAGCACCCAGGTGCCCAGGCGGTAACTGAGGGGCAGTGTGGCCACACCCTCTGAGTCCGTGGTGCCAGTGGCCAGCAGGGTCCGGTTCCCAAACACGTCCACTGAGGCCCGCGCCAGGGGCACCAGCTCTCCGCTCACATACACCTGCACCTTGATCAGGATCTCTGTGGGCAACATGGGGGGAGGGGGTGAGGAGGAGGGATGGGGCGAGATCAGCGGGGGCTGTTGTCTGGGAGAGGCTCTGGGGCTGAGACCAGAGAGCTTTGCACAAGGAGAAGCAGCACTGACAGAGCCCGTGTTTAAACCGGTACAATGACCGACCGTATTTCCTCAAGTCTAACATACCTGTGCATTTACATTTTAACTGTTCTGAATTCAGGCCATGTCTGTGGTTGAGGATGTCATAATTACAACTGATGACATTTCTTCCACTCTTGCTGGTGCATGAAATAATGGTGCATCTTGCAGTTAATGGAGCCCTGGGTTAGATTAAATATGTGCAGCCCATTTCACAGACAGGGAGACTGAGCCTCACAGGGTTCTGATGCTGGCACAGTAGAACCTAGTAGTCTGCCTGGGGAACATCAGTTCTTAACTCCTGGGCCCCTTGTGACCAGGAGAGGAGCGGAGGCAGGGCTGGGGCAGGGGGAGCACCTGGAGAACCAGGGGCCTGCCCGTGGAGAGGAGAGGGAGGGTGGAGGCTGGGCTAGAATGTGAGGAGGACTGGGGAAGTGCTCATTCTCATCACGCAAACGCTTCCAGGATGGCTGGCACAAGCCTGCACCCCTTCAGATTCAAGGACCGCCCCAACCCCTCAGTCCAAACAAGTGCCCCGTGACCCCTCCTCTCACATCTCCAGCCTGCCCCCTCCCAGCTGGTCAGCGGCAGTCGGTCGCCATGGCAACGCCCTCATTCCTCCCAGGAGGCAGGGAGCTGGGGCCCTGAGGAGGGGAAGGCGATCTGGGGGTGGTGGTGGTGGTGGGCGACCCAGGCCCAAGGCAAACTGGGAAGGGAAGCCTAAGTCTGTGGATTTCCAGGGCCACCTCTGGCCACGGGCCCCAGGACTGTCCAGCCAGGCTTGGGCCTGTGGAGTCCTGATCTAGAATGGGTGATGGGGGAGGGGCAGGCCTTGAGTTGGTCCCAGACTTCCCCAGCAGCCTCTGTCCTGTGGCGCCTGCCTCCCCTGCCCACTTGGCAGGGCCCCTCCCTGCAGAACGTGCCTGGCTGCTGCTTTGCTGCTGGTCATGGGTGTCCGATTTGGGAAGGTACAGAGGCCCCAGGCTCTGTGGGCAGGGTGCTGGAGGCCAACCAAGTCCAGGTTCAGAAGGAGGAGTCCAGAGCTGAGCACAGCGGGACGGAGAGACCTTCGGACGGCCTCGCCAGGAGCGGAGGCTGACACTCCACAGTGACAGGTGTCTTAGCTCCGGTTTCCAGTGCCAGGGCCGGTGCCGCGCCTGCCCCTGGCATCCCATCCAGCTGTTGGCCAGCTGGGCGCACACACTTGACCAGCCCCCGGTTTGGGTCCTCCCCCACCAGCCAGCAGGAATTCTGAGAAGCTGGAAGGGGCTGGCTACACCCCAGGCCAACTCTGGGCTGGGAGCAGCTGGGAAGAAGGGACCCAGAGGTCTGAATACCTGGTCATCAGAGGGAACGTCTTGGGCGTACAAGAGCCTCAGGAGAGAGGGTTGGGGAAGCAAACGGGGCGGGGGCAGCTAAGGCCTGCTGAAGGCATCGGGGCCAAGTTGGGGGCAGGTGCCTAGCAGATCCTCTCCCCCCGGACCCACACCCTTGGCGTATGGGGCTTGTGGGAGGGGCTTCCTGAGGGCGCTTCTACCTGCTCCAGCCTTCTCTCTGCCTCCAGAGAGTGAGGGAGACTGAGGCAGAGGGCCAGCCTCACAGCCCTCGCAGCCTCACATTCTGCGCAGGATCCGCCTGTCAGCCCCAGCCCTGCCTCGTTCCAGAGGAAATCCCACCCCCTTCCTTCATCCGGACCCCACCTCCGTCGTCCAGACCCCCACCCCCTGCCTTTCCTGCCAGATCCTTGGTTGGGAGGGGGTGGGGGAGAACATGGTTCCCACAGGCAGGAGAGGGGAGAGCAGTAGTGAGGGGGTGGGCAGGAGGCTGGGGGGTGGGTGCAGAGCTCAGGGGTGCAGCCATGGTCTCATTCTCCCACCGTCTCCCTTGCAGGAGCCGGCCCCACCCCCACTGCACACACCCACCTGGGCCTGGGGAGGTGCTGGGAGCTGAGATGAGGAGGGGGTGATCTGGGGGCAGGCAGGGGACAGGGACCCAGGCACCTGCCCTCTGAGCTGGCACTGCCCACAGCCTGCTAGCCAGCTCAGCATGGCTCTGCCACCACAGCCCTGCCCTGCACCGTGAGCCCAGAATCACGACACCCCCTCTTCTCAGAGCTCTCTCAGCTGCAACCCCTCCTCCGTCACGGGCCGGTCGGCCTTTATTTTTGTGCACCCCAAATTCTAAACCTGGGGGGCGGGCTGGGGGCTGGCGGGCTCCAGGGCGGAGAACCCCATTAGAGCAGTCAGTCCCGCCCACAGCCTCACCCACTCCCCTTCTCCCCTCCCCCCTTCGAATCCAGCTCCAGGCGCCCAGCCCCCGTCCGGGCCCAGGGTGGCAGCCGATGCCTGCGCCACCACCCAGCCGGGGTCAGGAACGAGGGCCCCGTGGGGCGCTGCGAAGCCGGCGCCCGCCCCAGCCCGCCTCTGGGCGGGTGTCTTCGGTAGACAATGGCTCAGGCAGCAGCGCCTCGCGGACCAGGAGGGAGAAAAACAAGTCGGGAGGGGGCGGCGGCGCCAAGCCCGGAGACCCCCGCCCTCCTCATTGTGTCTCCCGGAGACCCTCGCCCCTGACGGTCTCCCTCTTCCCCACGCCACGTCCCCCACCAGCAGCACCGACCCCAGGGCGCCTGGCTCCCCCCACCCAAATCCAAGGAACAGAGTCCGCTCGATTCACGAGCGCCGCGAAGAGGGGCTGGCGGGCGGGGGGCCTGATCGGGGGGCGCAGGCTCGCGATCGCGGCCCCTCCCGGCCGAGACTCACCCTGCGGGCTGGGGGGCTCCGGCGGTGACTTGCCGGGAGCCCGGGAGGCGCCGCCGAGCAGCAGCCCCAGCAGCGGCAGCAGCCGCGCGAGGACGCTGGGGCCACTCGGCGGCGGCATCGCGGGGCTCAGCCCGGCCCTAGCGGTCCATAGCTCCCGCGCGGCCCCGCTCGGCCGGCGCCGCTCAGCCCCGGCTCTGCGCCGCGCGGCTCGGGCTCCCGCTCCGGCTGCGGCGCCCGCTCGGCGCGATTGTCTCCGCCCGGAGCCGCCCGCCAGCGCCCCCTGCAGGCGGCGCCCCACACCGCGGGCCCCCGGCGCCGCCCCCTCCCGGCCCCGCTCAGCCCGCAGCCGCTCGCGCTGCCCGCCCTCTGCCCACCCCGCAGTCTCCCACCCCCGCTCCCGCACTCCGAGCTGCGAGGCGGTGTACCGATCAAGAGTCGTGTCAGGGTCCTATCACGGAGCTTCCAGGGGCTCGAGAGCCCCCGAAATTTGGTGCAAACATTGGGGGTGGGTGGAGAATAGCTATTGCTTACAACATATTCCCAAAGTGATGTAGTCCTGGGTGTCAGGCAAGTGCAAGAACTCCCCGCTCCGCCGCTGAGCGTCTGCGTGAACAGGGTCAGGGAGGCAGCGGGCGGCCCCTGGGGATCAGCGAGGTCTGGGTTCTTGTCTAGCTTCTGCCTCTCCTCAGCCAGGGGCGAGTAACTTAGCCTTCCCGTCCTCAGTCTTCCTCTAGGGTGGGGGTAGCAGTGCCCCCCCCCCCCCAGGCTTAAATGGGATGTCACAACTCACATGGTGCAGGGGGCCAGAAACTGCCATCGCTGCTGGTCCCACTGGTTCTGGCTTCCTGAGACGAGCGGTCTTTTCCCTCTTCCTCCAGCATCTCCCTCTTCCTCCAGCATCGACCCTCACCCTTGAAGACCCCTATGGGCCTGCGCTAACCCCAGGCAAGCTGTCTTCCCTTCCGTATTTCTGATTCTCATCACTCAGTTTCCGACCTTCTGATCTGGGGCTGTACCCCTCTCTTGGCTCTCCGTGACGTAACACCGTGTGGTGCCCAGGAGGGGACTGCATACCCGGACAGCAGGCATCCTCTGGGTTGGGTGCCCTGGTTGGGTCTCCTGACTTAAGGGGTCCTCATAATGGTCTTGCGGACAAAACCAAGATTCTCTCTCACCTCCTTTCTTTCCTTCCCTCTCTCCACTCTTCCCCCCTCCCTCCCTCCCTCCCTCCTTCCCTCCCTTCCTCCCTAGTTTCTCCATTCCTTTTTCCTTTCTCTTTCTTGCTTTTTAACAGAAAATTTCCCCTAACAGCCCTACCCCTTACATAACCAATTTTTTGGAACCTCAACACAGGATTTAGCTCTCATGCCTGGTGAATTTCGCCTTGTTGGTTTCAACCCAACTTTACAATCTGTCACCACTGCCTGGAGTCTGCTCCAGCCACCCATTGGACTGGAGCTCTCCGCCAGCCAGCAGCCGCCTGCGGGGAAGAGTGGCTTCCCCTGCCCATTCCAGGCACCTGGGACGATGCCAGGCAGCCCAGGGGTGGGAGGGACTCAGGTCTAAATCCTGGTCACTAGGATCGAGCTCACATTTCTTTCTTGTCTATAAGAACAAATGCCAAATGCTTTGCTGGGTCGAGATAAGTTGTCTGGGGCCATCCGAGCTCAGTGATGGAGTGGAGGGGATTTGGCTGATGTTCAAGGATCATGGTTTAATCTTTTCTTAAAACTAGGCTCCGACCAGGAACCTGTTCCGGAGCTTGCCATGCGTGGATGTCAAATTGTCCATTTCAAAATTTACCACTGAGCCCTTGAGCTAACATCAAGCGCTAATAGCTCCTGTTCTCCAATGGCTTCCCCCAACTTAGCACTTAGCATTTTGTTTTTTTAAAAAAGATTATTTTAGGCCGGCGCCGTGGCTCAATAGGCTAATCCTCCACCTTGCGGCGCCGGCACACCGGGTTCTAGTCCCGGTCGGGGCGCCGGATTCTGTCCCGGTTGCCCCTCTTCCAGGCCAGCTCTCTGCTATGGCCAGGGAGTGCAGTGGAGGATGGCCCAGGTGCTTGGGCCCTGCACCCCATGGGAGACCAGGAAAAGCACCTGGCTCCTGGCTCCTGCCAGGATCAGCGCGGTGTGCCGGCTGCAGCGGCGGCCATTGGAGGGTGAACCAACGGCAAAAGGAAGACCTTTCTCTCTCTGTCTCTCTCTCACTGTCCACTCTGCCTGTCAAAAAAAAAAAAAAAAAAGATTATTTTATTTGTTTGAAAGGCAGAATGATAGAGAGGGAGAGAGAGAGAGAGAGAGAGAGAGAGAGAGATCTTCCGTCAGTTGGTTCACTTCCCAGGTGGTTGCAATGGCTGGAGCTGGGCCTGGTGGAGCTCCACCTGGGTCTCCCGTGAGTGGCAGGGGCTGGGCATTGTCCGTTGCTCCATCCCAGGACTGGAACTGCACCGGGCATAAGCGCTGATCCACCACATGAACCAACAGGTCCTGAGAAGGACCCTGTTCACCGCCGCTGGGGCGCCAACTCCCACTCCACTCCTCACCCCTTCTCCTCTGCGGGGAAGGAGGAACAGCCACAGGGGTCAGCGAGCGCAACCTGCTCAGCTCGCCCCGGTGTGCCATGGCCTTCCTGGGCTGAGCGCAGAGCCCGCCTCCCTCTGCCCCGCCCCCCCCCCCTTTTTTTAAAGATGTATTTATTATTTATTTGAAAGGCAGGGCGGGGGGAAGGAGAGAGAGAGAATCTTCCATCCACTGGTTCATTTCCTAAATGCCTGCAACGGTCAAGACTGAGCCAGGCTAAATCCAGGAGCCGGGAACTCCATCCGAGTGTCCTGCGTGGGTGGCAGGGATCCAAGCGCTTGAGCCATCACCCGCTGCGTCCCAGGACAAGTGCACAGCGGCGGGCCGCTGGGACCAGAAGTGAAGCCAGGACTCAAACTCAGGCACTCTGCTATGGGTGCAGGTGTCGCAAGCTTCGGCTTGACTGCTGCGCCACAGCAGTGGGTGGGAGGCACGGAGAGCATGGTTTTTTCCTAGGTCTCAGGTCATTTTGATGTTTATCTCTCCAACATCATGAAAAATATTCTGCTTAAAGTCGCCCACCAGGGACCCAGCCTTCCTTCTTTGATGCCTCCCCTAACAGGCACCTCCGTCCCCTCCAGTGGCACCTGTAGGCCCTGCCACTCACTTACTGTCCTGCAACCCCACTGTCTCCTCCCTGACTCCCCAGAGACAGTCAAATGCAGCCTGTGCCCAGACAGGGACCCCTATGCGCACACCTCCACCGACCCCAGTTCCCCGCCCACTCGTTCCTCCGTCCCCTTCTCCTCCCCGATGTCAAGAAGAAGCGGCTCTGTGGGGACTCCGTCTCTTTATTAGGAAGCAGGGATGGGGTGGCCCTGCTCCGTGGGGGAGGGGCAGGGCAGCAGGAGCCCCGAGAACAGCTCCAGCCCACGGGGGGGGGGGGGGCAGAGCCAGCAGCAGCGGGAGGAGGCTAGCACAGCTGCCCTGTCACTCCTCATCTTCATCTTCCTCTTCCAGAGGCGGCCGATTCCGCTTGAAGAAGCCCACCTGGGGGTGCACAGGGGCCGGTCCGAGCCTCAGTGGGGAGTGTTATGGACCAGCAGCCACAAGGCCCCCTGCCTGCCCCAGCACGGAGCACAGACCCCGTTGGGCTCACAATACGACCTTCCCCAGCTTGGAGCTGGTGCTTGGAGCACGCGGTGGGCTCTCGCAGCATTTTTGTTTTTTTCTGCCCTGTTTTTTTCTTACACATTGATGTTTGTGTTTCTCTCTGATTCAAGTGCATGGCAACATGTATCTAATCCTTGTGTCGCTGCCCGACTTCCCAGGTTCTAGAGTGGCCCCTGGGTCTCCGGCCTCACTCAGGGGGAAGAACAGACACAGGAGGTGACAGGTTGTGCCGCGTCCTAGGTAGCAGTCAGGACCTCCAGAAAGCAGGACTCCTGCCCTGTGGCTCCTCGAAGGTGTGTGTGTGTGTGTGTGTGTGTTTGCATATGTATGAGGGTGTGTGTATGAGTGTGAGACTGTGTGAGTGTATGTGCAAGAATGCGAGTGTGCGTGTGAATGTGTGTCTGTGAAAGTGTGAGCATGATTATGTGTATCTGAGTCTATGTGTGTGTGTGGTGAGAGTGTTTGTATGTGTGTGAATGTATGTGTGTGTCTGTGAGAGTGTGAGCGTGATGTGTATCTGAGTCTGTGTGTGTGTGTGTGTGTGCTGAGAGTTGTGCGTGTGTGTGGTGAGAGTGTGTGGGTGTGGGTGTGTGTTTGTGTGTGTGTGTCTGTGAAAGTGTGAGTGTGATTCACCTACCTTCCAGGGGTGTGTGCCCTGGGAGAGCCGCTCTGGAGGACACTGCAATAGCGCCGAGGTGGGCCCCTGGGCCAGATCACCCACGTGGGCCCTGCCCCTCCCTGCCTCCCCGTGTGCCCACCCAGGGCCTCCAGCACTCCCCATGCCTCACCTTCCACATGGCCAGGACCAGGAGGATGAGCAGCAGGAGGCCGCCCAGGGCGCCAACCAGCACCCACCAGATTGGAACAGCCTTCTCCTCCAAGACACGGAGCAGCTGGGTCTGCACCTGCGTGCAAGCCAGGCTCTCACCAGACGCACACCTGGAGCCGAGCCACCCGCCTGCCGGCCAGCCCTCAGCGCCGGGAGGCCCCACTCCCATCCTGGCTGGGCGCTGACCCAGGAGACACCGTGGGCGCTGCGTCTCCCTCATCCCCCACCCCCACCCCCCACTGACCAGAGCTTCCCCGCTGGGCAGGCTGAGCGCGGGCACCGCGTAGGGGAGGGAGGAGACGTTGAACCAAGCTTGCGACTGCAGCACAAACTGATCCAGCGGCCTCTGGAGAGGGCGGGGGCGAAAGTCACTCACCACCCCCCCCCCCACAACTTGGTGGCAGGAGTCCAAGTCCCCGCCCCCGCGCCGCAAGGGAAGCCTCTCCCTTGCTCCCGACCCCCCCCCCACCTCACCAGCTCAGTGCTCGCCTCCCGGAGGCCCCGCCCCGAGCCCCGCCCACCCGCGTGCTGCCTACCTCGCGGAGGCTGGACAGCCCCAGCAGGGCCAGCACGGTGACCATGGCCCGCTGCCCGCGCGCCATCTCCTGCAGCTCACATTGCACCACAGTGCAGGGCGCCGAGTCACAGCTCTGAGGGGACGCTTCATCAGTCCCGTCCCTCCTGGCCCCTCACCCCCTCGCCCCAAGGAGCCAACACAGGGCAGGCAGGGGCCTCGGGCAGCCCCGGCCTCCTGGAGATGGCTGGAGCGAATGCTTCCTCCCGCAGCCCTCAGCACCTGGGGGCTTGGAAACCTCGCTTTGGCCTTTCCCCCCCTTTTTCTCAATAGAGTGGGAAACTTAAGAAATGCAAGGGTCCCCCAGCCACCAGCGAGGTCCTTCGTGTTCACTTGGCGTGACCCGCAGAGGCCCACGTCATGGCCCTCCCTCCCCTGCGGAGCCCCGGCGCCCTCTCACCACCAGGACCGGATCCCGAAGCCCCGCGGCCGAGGACGGCTGCGGCTCCAGCAGGTCGGCATGCCTGCGCTCGCGCCGGTACCCCGGGTGCATGGGAGAGGGGCTGGGAGTGGGCAGCCTCCAGTTTATCTGGGGAGGCCAAAAAAGCAGTCAGTACCCCCTACACACACCAGGTGCCCGGGACCCCACCCCAGCTTCGGCTCACCCAGGCGCTCACCTTGAGGGGGTTGGGCGAGGGCTGTGGGGAGCACTGGAGGCCCCCCTGCGGCTCTATGCCCAGGATGTAGAGCAGGTCCGAGGGCTGGGACTGGCCCGGGAGGTGGATGGTCAGGTGGAGACCCCTCACGGTGCCTGGGCCATTGTTGTGGAGCTGGGGTGGTGATGGCCAGGCAGCAGGTGGCTCAGAGCCAGGGCACAGCACCTAGGCCCCTCCCTCCCCAGCTGGGACTCGGCGGGGGCTCCCTACCTCATAGGTGTGCTCCACTTTGAGGTCCAAGCTGTTCTGTTCCTGGTCACCTTCTTCTGCCAGCACCAGGGAGGCTGGAAAGGAGTTCCTACAGGTGCCCAAGCCCCCCAGAGGGTGAGTGATCTCCAGGCTGCAGCCCCTGGGACACCTAACTGCAGCCTTGCCGGCCTCTCCCTTGGGCGCCCTCTCTCTCACCCTCGCAGCTCCACTTGAGCAGCAGCGCGGACCGGCACAGCCAGCAGCACAGCCTCGCTGTTGGGGTTCTGGCTGTTCTTGCTGCAGGGGAGGGGTGAGGAGAAGCGGGTCACCCACACACCGCCCCGTGCCTCCCTGGGCCGGGCCAGGGAGCGCTGACTGCACACAGGGCGTGGCGCGGGAAAGAACTCCTCTAAGGTCCCAGGAGTCAGACGTGAACCTCTGACCCAAGAGAGGAAGGGCGGGGCCTGGCCGGAAGGTGTCTCAGAAGACCCTTCTGTAGGGAAGGAGCCTGAGGGTCTCTGCACTGGGGTCGGACAGGGGAGGGGGTGGCTAGGTGCGCTCCCCGGAGCCGGGTACCTCCTGATCTGCAGCTGGAAGGATACAGACTCGCCAGCATCTTCCAGGTTCCCCACGCTCACCAGCATCGTGATTCCTATCTGGGAGACGGGGAGGGCCCAAGTCACCGCCCCAAAGCCCGCTCTGGGCAGCCCTGCCCTGAATGGGCTCCCAGTGGCCCCCCTCCCAGCTCACCCCGTACCCAGGACACACAGTAGCCAGGGGTGTGAGGCCCGGGATTCTAACCCAGGGCTCTCAGACTCCAAAACCTGGCCCGGGACCCGGCTGCGGCTGTGCCGGGCCGACGCCTTACCCGCGCCTGCTTCATGGGGTTGCCAAGCTCGCACAGCACCGCCTTGGTCTGGTTCTCCTTCCTCTGGTTACAGATGAGTCTCTCCAAGCCCTGGGGGGCGGGGCGGGGCTTAAGCTCCTTTGGAAAGGAGGTGGGGGGGGCACTTGTGTGCCTGGGTGAGCAGGGGCACTGGGGAGGTGGGGGTGGGATTCTGCTTTTGCGTCACTGTCACACTTCTTTTTTTTTTTTTTTAAGTAAATTTTCATTTGGGAAATAATAACCTAAAAATGCATTGCATAGAGAATGACCCCCTTGTTATAAACTACAGCAAAAACCGAAATCAATAGGTGAGGTGCCTTCAGAAAGTCTGTGGGAACATGGAATGCAAAGGTTACGATTATTTATGCCCAGAGCGTTGGAAACCTGCTGCTAGCTTTTTCATACTGCACGTTCTCCATGCACTTTCTTGCAGTGCCCTTTGTACCTCTGTTAGTGACTGTCAATCTTGGAGGAAAAAGACTGGGCACAGGTTCCAGCTACCACTTCGTTTCTGAGACATGTAGGGGTTTTTCGATTGAGTTCTCGAATTTTGTGCCATTAGGGAGCATTCCTCTTCCAAACACCTTATGTGGCCAAGCATACGGGACATGGGAGCTCTTGCAGTGGGATATGGACAGGGTGGAGGCTTCTGCACGTGTCAGGACCTGGCAGTGCCCTAGGGCTGGGCCTCACCTCCATGGTGCTCACTGCCCGCATGTAGTGGGCCCCCAGGGGCAGGTGCACCACCAGCTCTGCCTCGTAGGCCCCCTCCCCGTCGTTGGCCGCGACCATCTGCAGCTCCAGCACATTGTCAGCCCCAATCAGGAGTGGGGAGCCCTTCCTGTGGGGGGGAGGGAGAGGAGTGAAGCCAGGGAGGAGGAGAGGCGGCAGGGGGCCGAGAGGGCCGGGGAGGAGCAGAGTGGGAGGTCCCCTTACAGGCTGGCCGTGAGGTGAAGCTGGGGCACGCACACGTCATCTTCCCCACACTCCAGGATGATGCGGGTCTAGGGGGGCACATTGAGAGGTGTGGGTAACTGGGGTCCTCTGAGGCTTGGGGGCCACACCAGGGTTAGGAATACAACAATGGGCTTGGGATTCTTATCAGGGCTTAGGGAATAAGGGACCAGTGTTGTGGCACAGCAGGTGAAGCTACCACTTGGGATGCCGGCACCCCAGATCACAGCGCTGGTTCAAGTCCCCGCTGGTCCACTTCCAATGCAGCTCCCTGCTAATGCCCCGGAGAAGGCAACAGAAGATGGCCCAAGTGCTTGGTCCCCCCCACCCACATGGGAGACCAGGATGGAGTTCCAGGCTCCTGGCACAGCCCGTTTTCTGTGGCCATTTGGGGGGTGAACCAGTGGATGGAATATCCTTTCTCTCTCTTTCTCTCCCTCTCTCCATCACTCTGCCTTTCAAATAAATAAAGCAAATCTTACAAAAAAAGATCTGAAGCTGAAAAAGTTTGGAGTTGACCTCAAGGTGTAGGGGATATTGGGATTTTCGCTAGCCTCTCTCTGTATATATCATAAACATATAAACATACTCTGCACATACACAAACACTTGAATTATTTGAGAGGCAGAGAGAGAGAGAAACAGGCAGACAGAGCTCCACTGGTTCACTCCCCAAACGCCCACAGCAGCCAGCAAAGCTGAGAATTCAACCTGAGCCTCCCAGGTGGGTGACTTGAGCCACCTTCACTCTCTCCCAGGGTCTGTATTGGCAAAAAGCTGGGATCAGGCACTGGCACTGGGAATTGAACCCAGGCGCTCGGATATGGGATGCAGGCATCTTAACTGGTAAGCCAGATATCGGGGTGACGTCAAGGTCTGGGGGTACACATTATGATTTGGACACTACCCCAACCTAGGCTTTCTGTCAGGGGCCCTGTACCACTCCCACCCGTCCCACCTGCTCCTGCACGTGGGTGTTCCCGTGCAGGACCACGGCAGGGGCCACGCCAGCCTCCTTGGGCTGCAGCGACACGTTGAAGCTGAGCACGATGGGGCTCAGCTTGTCCCGGAAGTCCGCCTCATCCTAGGAGGGAGACAGGAGTCAGGCAATCTCGCTCCATGCACATCCTGCTGATGACCCCTGGACCCACAGCACCCAGCCCAGTGCCCCAGGGCTGGTGAATGCGGTGCACACGCCCAGCCCAGCCGAACCCCTGCCTGTGCGTACGCGAAGGAAGGCCGTGGTGTTGTGGCAGAGGCGGCTCTGCCTCCCGCCCAGGTCCATGCTCAGGGTGGTGCTCGCCTGCTGAGAGCCCAGCAACAGCACTCGCCGGCCCTGGCGGGGCTTCTGGCGGTCCAGCTGCAGCTCAGCCTGCAGGTCTGCAGGACAAGCAGGCCCGGTCAAGACCACCTGGCCAGCCGCGGGGGAGCCTGGGCCCTCCTCCCCCTGCGCCTCCCGAGCCACTCACACAGCCTCTGGGGAATGTTGTGCCCGGTGACCCCCACGCACATCTGGATGTTGAAGCTGCAAAGACGTGAGTGGGTTCAGGGGCGAGGGCCGGCCCAGGGACCACAGGTCCCGGCTGCCGCGCCCGCGCCTCCTCACCAGCTCACGGGGGTGTTGGTCTGGTGCAGGACACAGTTCTTCACAGCAGGGTTCAGCGAATCTTGCACCAGCAGCTGGACATCGGCCATGACCACCGGCTGGGCTCTAGCGGGACAGAGGGGCGCCTGCCGTTGCGGCCCCTTTGGGGTTGGCCTCCTCCCGCACCCCGCCCCCAGAGTCAGCGCTCACCTGTACACAACCACCTTGTCCGCCCCGTAAGCTCCTACCAGCAGGTCTAAACATTGCAGGAGGGGTCGGGATTGGCAGTTAGAGAGGGCATGGGGGCGGCTTCTCATCTCCCTTAGGGCTCCGCACACCACCTCCCCCGCCCCAGGAAGTCTGACCTGCTCCCCTCCACCCCAGGCTTCCCAGCCATACAAAGCGGTCAGAGCCCCCAGTGGGGCGGGCACCAGGTCAGGCCCGGGCCTCCTGGCTGTCTCTCGGCATTTGCAGCAAAGGCACCTGGGTATCCGTTGTCATCGATGTCTGTGGCACCTCTCAGACAGAAGCCAAAGGCAGAGCCCGCGGGGAAGGGGCTGTCCAGGACCTGGGAGGGATGTGGGTTCAGCCCCTCGCTCTGCCCCAGGTACACCAGCACTTGGCCCCGACCGCTCGGACCCCCGTAGGGCGCAGCCACCGCAACATCTGGAAAGGTAACAGGCATGGCTGCTTGTTATTCAACCCCCCCCAGGGGCACCGCTTCCTGAGCTCCCTCTCTGGGCCGGCCCCGGAGGACCAAGAGAGGGCTGCCCAGTGTGAGGCCGAAGTTGCGGTCAAGTGGGAGAGAGGCTGGTCAGGCAGCACTGTTAGGAAAACAGCACCAGCCTCCACTAACCGCCGAGGAAAAGAGATCAACAAGATTTCATTTAATCCTGAAAATGAGGCATTATTCTACTAATTTTAGATAAAAAGTGTGGGCTCCAGAATATGGAGTAGCTGAAGCTTATTAAATACAGGCCCCCAACTTCCCCTGGGGCCCTGCGCTTCCCCCCCACAGACTCAGGCACACCCACAGGCTCTCACTCACCTTTGAAAGCGCACCTGTTGTCAGAGTGGCACCTCTGAGAACTCTTCGTGTCTGACACGAGCGCGTCTTTGATACGTGCCTTGCACCTGTCTACCCTTTGCCTCCCGATTTTGTTGACAGCATGTTTCCTACGCAGCTCTTTCTTTGAACTGTCTTCACTGATTTCTCTGACCTTGCCATAGGCTGAGCCGGCTTGTCCCACTGCCAGCCCTGGGTGAACCCAGCTCGGGGCACCATGAGCCCCTGACCCCAGTGCCCTGGAGGCTGCCCCGCTGCCTGGCCAGGTGCTGCTCACTCCTCCCAGTCTGCTCAGCACCTGTTTCTAGCTTCCTCCATCCTTGCAGCGCCCAGCCCTTGGCTTCTCACAGGGGACCGCATCTCCTACTTCTCAAAAGGGAAGTGGCCCCACCGTGGGCCACCAGCTCCCTTTACCCTGTTCGTGTTTGACATTGGAACAGGTGTCTCTCTTCACCCGGCACCGGGCTGTGTCCCCCCTGTGCATTACAGGAACCTCTTCTGGCTCCCCTGGCTCCGCCCCTGGTTCCTCTGGCTCCACCCCCTGGTCCCTCTGGCTCCGCCCATGACTCCTCTGGCTCCACCCCCTGCTCCCCATGGCACATTTTCTCCTGTTCAACCCCTTCCATTTTCCTCCACATTGAATTCATCTTTCCTGACTGAAGCCCCTCCTGGCTCCCCCTGCCCTCGGGTCAAGCCCAGGCTTTCTGTTGAGGCTGTTAACCCTCCTGCAGCAAGTGGGGGCTCCTCTCTCCTCACCATTGTAGCCATCCCTGTTGAGGTCGCCCAGGGGCGCGATCGCAGAGCCAAACCGCCCGTAGAGCTGCGTGCCGGTCAGCAGGAGGCTGGGTGCGCCCAGCAGGTGGGGGCCTTGCAGCTGCAGGAACAAGTACACGCGCCCCACCTCGGCCAGCTTGTGGTCTGCCTGGCTCGCCATGAACAGAGGAGCGCCCACCAGTAGGTCATGCCTCCTGCAGGCAGAGGGGTGGTCAGCTGGGGCTGGCTAGTGGCGGCTGGGGGCTAGGGCCAAATCTTGCCCACGCTGGCTCTCAGCTCCTGGGGCGGTCGTGCCCAAGGCAGGGCTGGCAGAGGCAACTGGGGAACCAACGGGGTAGGGGTGGGGCGTCCCCCTCCTCACCCATCCCCGTTGACATCAGTGACCGCCACAGAGTGCCCAAAATACGAAGCCATCTGCAAGGAGACGAGGGCACCTTCGTTTGTACCTCCCAACCCCCCAGATATTCTGTGGTCTTAGTTTCCTGTCTTCAGCCAGTCCCAGCGCGGCCCGGCCCCCACCTGCTCGCCCTGCAGCCGGTGCAGCCTGTAGAAGTAGGAATCCAAAATTTCCACCTGCATGGACAGTGCATGGAGCGTGTTACGTTTGCTCCCCGTGAGAAGGGCAGGAAGTCGGGGCGGGGGGACCGTGAGCCTGAGGACTGGGGACATTGATGCCAGTGGTGTGGTGGAGGGCACTCACCGCTCCCATGGTCCAGCTCCAAGTGGGGGCACCGAGGACATACTCTGGGGGAGAGCCAGGCTCAGCGGGCGGCATCTCTAGAGCCTGCTACCTCCCACCCGCTCCGCGCGCAGCTTCTCCCGGGGCTGGGCTCCCAACCCCGCCACTGAGCAGGTGGACTTCTTACCTGTTGTGCTGAGATCCCCATCGAATTCGCCCACGGCCACCGAGTACCCTGGGGACAAATTAAATCTTAGCAGGAGGTGCTGGGGGCGAGAAAAGAGGGGACTCCGAGGCCACCCAGTCCGAACCCGGCACCGCGCAGAGCCGTCCAGAGGCGGGGCGCTGTAGGCGCTGCGGAGGCTCCCGAGGGGCAGGACGTGGTCGGCGGGGCGGGCGGTGACCCCTGGGGTGCTGGGGCTCCAGATTACCTCGGTAGCCGTCGAAGTACTTTCGGTTGCTGTAGTCGAAGGTGAAGTTCTGATTGGGCACGGTCCACAAGAGGACGCCGGGGCTGTAACTCGAGATGATGTTGGCAATTGGAGCCCGGACCAGGAAACCTAGGGCGCGAGGGGCAGGGAGTGTGGGGGCCCAGACGCCAGGGGTCTCCCGGGGCCGTGAGAGGGGCGGGGGTCGCACCGACTCGCACGTACCTAAGTAATAATAGCCGCCCGGAGCCCCCAGCACCAGCTCTCCTTCCTGAAAGGGAAGCCCTGGAGGTGAGAAGAGCGCCCGGTTCGTGGACTGCCCCCACCATGCTTTTGCCTCCAACTTGCCTGGGTGATCACGGAGCTGAAGCCCGCTTCGCAGGAGCGTAAGTCTCCTAGGGGAGACGGCTCAGTGAACCCGCGGGGGAAGAAGCGAGCCTCCGCGCCTGCAGCGCCGCGGGGCAGTGCGCAAGCGCGAGGGGGCGGGGACAGGGTAATAAGGAGGCGTGGCTGCAGTCGGAGGGGCGGGACCAGGAGCTGGGCAGACGCTAAGGCCAGATTGGAAGCCGGGCTGGCGGAGGTTAGGGGCGGGGCTATGCAGTCTCGAGTGGGCGGAACTAGATGGAGGGTGGCCCTTACTAAGATACATTTTTTCGTAAACGTGGCTCATGGTGTTGCCACGACAGGGCGAGTACTCCGCGCGCCTCCCGCTAGGCAGATGAGCCACGAAGCAGCCGCCGACCGGCGTCTTCTCGGCCTCCGCTGCCTTTTCCAGGACGTTCCATTGCTGCCAGGGGGCGCAGGCCTGGACAGGGCCACGGGAGAGTGGGGAAGGGTGCGAGGCTCGGGCTCCCCCGTCCCCAGCGCATCCCCTCCCCGACCGCCCCGTGCCGGTCTCGGGGCGCCCACCACAATGATGTCATTCCAGCTGACGACCGACGCCCCCAGGCCTTGCCGGGCCCTGAAGGTTTGGAAAAGTTGGGAGCTCGTTTTTCGGTACTCGTCGCCTGGAGGGCACAAGAAGGGGTGGGGCGTTGAGTCCCATCCGGCCGTGAACCTCCCCCTCGCTCCTCCCTTCCACCCTTGCTGGGGACTCACTGAGGTTGAAGGACAGCAGGCTGCACGGGCTGCCCTCGGCCTTCCAGGGGCACAGGAACACGCCGCCCGTCTCCTTTTGGCCGAGGCCCAGGGTCCGCGGGGCGCCCACCACGATGGCCACGCTGCGCGGGAAAGCAGGGTGAGCGCGGCGCGGTGCTGGGAGCGCGCCGGGGCCGTGTAGCCGGCGGGCACCGCATCGCTCTCCTACATGGGACCTCACACTTTATTGTGAGAGAGGGAAATCCCATGCCTAAAGTAACCCAGCGAGTCGGGAGTGAAGCTGGAACTGATCCCACGGTTTGATTTGAACACCGGGGGTTCGGTATCCGTGAGAAAAGTATCGCCTACGCTGTCGGCGTCTCCACCGTCCGACCACCAGCCACCACCAGGGTCTCGCGTGCTCCTGGGAACCAGGTCCCTCCTTGGGAGGGGGTTTGAGTGCTGAGGGAGGCACGCGAAGTGGGGCGGGGGTGCGTGGGAGCGGAGGGTCCCGCCGGGGTAGTTTTACCTGAGCTCTGCCACGTGTCAGTCAGGCAGAACGCCAACCCATGTACTGCACGTATACGGGGCGTTTAGCACGGTCCCAGTCCAACAGGGAGCAAGTTCATTGAGGAAGAACACTTTATTTTTTGGCACCCAGGATGTTTACTACGTAGTGCCCATGGGACCACTAATCGTGGAAAGGAGGGGGAAAGCAGCAGCAACAGGTGTGGAGCTGAGATTCAGACCCAATGTCAGATGGGGGTCAACACCCGGGGGCTGCTCCGCTTCCGATCCAGTTCCCTGCTAACATGCCGGGGAGGGCAGTGGGGCGATGGTCCAGTCCTTGGGCCCTAGCCACCCACATGAGAGACCAGATGGAGTTCCGAGCCCCTGGCTCAGCCCCAGCCCAACCCTTGCGGCCATTTGGGGAGTGAACCAGCAGATGGAGGACTTCTGTCTGTCTCTCCCTCTCTCTCCTTGCTGGTCTACCTTTCAAGTAAATATATATTTTTAAAAAGAGTTGAACCAAGAGGGTGGACCCTTACCCCTTGCCCCCCAAACAGTTTTCACTGATCATTGAATGGGGACCACCTCAGGAAGGGGACAATGTCCACTAGGACAAGTAGCCCAGGGTAACACAGGTATAAAAAGGAGGAGCCAGGTAGGCAGGCACTGTGGCATAGCAGGTAGAGCCACTGCCTGCAATGCCAGCATCCCAAATGGCTGTCGGTTTGTCCTGGCTGCTCTACTGATCCAGCTCCCTGCTAATGGCCTGGGAAAAGTATCAGAAGCTGGCCAAAGTGTTTGGGTCCCTGCCACCCACACAGGAGACCTGGAAGAAGCTCCTGGCTCCTGGCGCAGCTCTGGCCACTGCAGCCACTTTTGGGGAGGGAACTTAGTGGATGGAAGATTGTTCTCTCCCCTTTCTGTAACTCTTCAAAATAAACAAACAAAAATCCTAACAAAAGGGGGGGGCAGGACTCTAACCTTGGTAGTCAGATTCCAAAGCCTGATCAATTCAACCATTAATGACCGATTGCTTCTTTTCAAATTGCTAATAACTGTGATGGGGATAAGAGAAATGGAGCCGAAAAGAAGGCCGGATAGACAGTTTTATAACTGGCAGACCAGCTCAGGACATGTGCTCTTTTCTGTATCCCAGCAGGATGATCCTCCGGGCAAAGCCAGGCACGCGCTTTGGGCCTCCCTTTGTTTCTGCTGTGGCCTCAACGCCCACCTCCCCACCGGTGTTCCTCCCCCTCACACCTGGGCCAGCTGTGCCCAGCAGACCCCAGAATTCACCTTGTTCAACTGCTCTCATCCACAGGGAACTTGAGTAGTGATGTGCATGTGTGGGGGGCCCTTCTCTCCCCAGCATCCAAATATCCCCCAGGGCTCACCTTCCATGGCTGTCCTTGTAGAAGTCCAGTGAAAACCCAAAGTGGCTGCCATTGAGGCCCGTATAGATGGTGAGCTGCACTGGGTCCAGGTTCAAGGCCCAGGCTGGAGGTCCAGCACCTGGACCCAAGAGCAGCAGGGCCCATTCCAGAAACCAGAAGGCAGGCAGTGGACCCAAGGCTCTGGCCATCTTCCTTCTCCCACAACCTCCTAGGCAGGAATGGGTCAGCTCCTTCGTCTTCCCTCCAGTTCTCACCACAGGAAGTCTTTTCTTATCAAACTGGAACCCAGCGTAACTTGCTCAACAGTAGGCAAAGGGCTGGCCCTGGACCCGGACGGTGTCTGGCGTTGCCAGGAAGGGGGTGAGGCCCTCCAAGGGGTGGATGCGCATGGCCAGAAGTCACATCTCCTGCCTTTCCCAGGAGCAGCTGCTCACCACGTCCCCCCGATCCTGCCTCTCAGCTGTCTCCCGATCCTTCACCCCAGCTCCACTACCTCCATGCTCGGCCACGCCATCCTCACTTGGTGCCCGAGAGTCCAGGTGTGGACTGATTGTTCCTACAACGCCACAGGTCCACCCTGGCCTGCAGTCCTCCAGCTCCTCCCTCGCCCCATCGAGCTGGCTGCATCGCGGTGGCGCTTTGTAACTCGGCCAGGATGGGGGCAGGAACCCGGAAGCTGCTGCCCCTTGATAAGACCTGAGGCTGCCCTTTTGGGATAAGGCCCTCGCCCACTTCCTCCTTCCAGGGCCTTTGGCAGCCTGTCATGCTTATTGGTGCAGAAGCTTCCTCACTCTTCTATCTTGGGCCAAGTCTTCGTGTGGCCACAGCAGTGCAGCCAGTGCTGGTACAGAGATGGCGAAAGGATCTGGCCTAGCAAAGCGATGGGCATAGAGTGGAGTCACCCCAGGGTGTTCTGGCTAACGAGCTCTGAGATTTTCGCACCAGCTATCAGTTGAAGGCGGGTCCTCACCCCTTGCATGATGGAGCTCTCATCCAACCAATCAAAACTCGAGTCTGGTTGGGGTCACTGCCTCTAGGAAGGCTCCCCCAACTCCGCAGACTAGCACCCTGGGCTACTGTCCCCAGGTCTGCTCATTGCCCTGTGCAGCAACTCCCTGAGAGCAAGGTTTCTTTCTGCAGCCCCAAGGCCCAGCCGAGAGCCAGCTGCTGGACTGCGCGGAGGCGTGCGCTAAGGATAGGAGAGGCAAACACAGCGGCAGATGAGTGGAACACGAAGGCACGTTCCCTGGGCAGGAGGAGTGCCAAGTCTCCCTGGCACTGCATGTCTTCCCCGAAGTGCACTGAGGAGATTCCGGAGGGCACCAGCGGGAGGAGGGCCCGGCTGCACCCTCCTTTTGGAGTTCCCTGCTCAGACTGCACTGGCGCCGTACTCTGCTTGACTACCCCGAGCCATCTGGAGTCACTTAAGCTCCTCCCTTCTCGTACTTCACCATCTCAGCTCAGTTAAAAATATGACCCCTGGGGCCGGCGCTGTGGTGCAGTAGGTTAATCCTCCGCCTGCGGCACTGGCATCCCATATGGGCGCCAGTTCTAGTCCCGGCTGCTCCTCTTCCCATCCAGCTCTCTGCTGTGGCCTGGGAAAGCAGAAGATGGCCCAACTCCTTGGGCCCCTGCACCCGCATGGGAGACTGGGAAGCTCCTGGCTTTGGATTGGCGGAGCTCTGGCCATTGTGGCCATTTGGGGAGTGAAACAACAGAAAGAAGACCTTTGTCTCTACCTCTCACTGTCTGTAACTCTACCTCTCGAACAAATAAATCTTAAAAAAAAAAAAAAAAAAAGTATGATCCCTTAAGGCTAAAAGCTTCTTGGACTTCAGTCTGGGCCTTCTTCGCTGATGAATTCCCAGTGCCAAGTTCACGGCAGACATGTAATACATCTGCTAGAAAGCTTAGCCTAGTCCTCTACTTAGTGTCAACTAAGTGGCTACCGTATCACTGGTGTATTCCATGAAGCCCCACATGGATATAATAAACACTTACTCTAAAACACTCAGTAGGTCAGATAAAGATGACCATGAAGGGTTCTTAGCAAACTCAGTCCAGAGGGAGTGAAGACATGCACACACAAAAACACAGCAGAGGGACAGTGAAACACGCCTTGGAATAGATACAGGCCATGAACATAACTTCTATCAATGGATCCACCTAACAATCCTATGGAGTGGGTACCGTATATTGTGTTTATTTTATAAACACAAAAACTGTGGCACAAGAATTTCAGGTAAATTGCAAAGCAAGATTCAAACACAGGCTGTACTTGAACCCATGTTCACGTTCCGTTTTGCCTGACCAAGAAGGAGTCTTAGGCATAGGGAATGACATAGGCGGAGAGCACCGAAAACCCCACAGAGGTAAATTATGAGGAGAGCAGCAGCTGATTCAGCACAGAGCCCTTCCAGGCGGAGACAGGGCACAGCAGTGCAAAGGCAGGCTGGGGCCAAAGCCCTGGATGTCCTTGAGTGCCACATTCGGGAATTGATGGGAATCAAAGAAGAAAATCCAGGAGCATCCGTGCTCCAATCTGCAAGACAGCACCGGACGCCCGTGGACGTGACTGCAACTCTCTGGGTTGAAGTTGGTGAGGCTACACGTGGGACTCGGAGGCAAGCAGAGAGCGCCAAGATTAGAGGGAGGTGCCAAAGGTAATTAGAAACTTCGGTGCCTCGCTGGTTGTTTCCCAACCCAAACTGGGAAACACAGGTGGAGGGGCTCAGATCTGGGACAAGGGAGAAGCTGCCTTCCCACCTCAAGTTGGGTTCACCTCCCTCTGAGTGGCAAAGGAGTGCTGACACACAGCTACTAATTTTCACAGGCCAACAGCCAGACCCCTAGAATTCGTCAATGAACTCATAGTTCTGCTAATGTTTCACTCAGTTAGCAATTAACGAGCCTCTACTATGTGCACTGGTCATGTGGAGGCTACAGACATTGTAAATAATTTAATGCTTCCTTGCTAAATCCTGAGGGGTAATCCTCAGCTAATATTCTACTTTGTACCCGACTTTCTTAAACGTGTAGTCCTAATGTTTACTATATATTCAACTCTATGCTAAGATACCCTAAAGGGGTAAAAAGCAGCACAAGCAGCAGGCTGAGCCCTCAGAGCTCACAATTTCACTGGCAGGCAATGAATGCAAATGAATTACACGGACTATGAAGTCAGTAAACGCACATGGACCACGAAATCACATCCCAGTCCCCAACGGCCCTCACGGCTGAAGAGGGAACGCGTCCGTGTCTCAAGCTGAGGCGGCTGAGGCCTTGTCAAGCAAAGCAGCTGCACCCAACTTCACACAGCACTGCTGCACAGGCCGGTCTGCCTCCTTCTCGTCACCTTCGGCGCGCTCAGAAAATCACTTTCGTTTTCTAACATCTTTTCTTTCCGGGCAGAGACTTTTGTTATTTTAGGAAAACAGGCAGATCTGAGCACCCACTGCTAGGTTCAGGGTGAACAGCTTCTTCAGTGGCGGGTGAACACAGCTGCACCAGGGTGGAAAAGAGCTATTGCACAACTCCTCAAACAAGGAGAAGAAACTGGTTTGTCACTGCACAGTAGCTTTCCACGCTAGATTTCCCCCTGAATGTTTTGTAATTTTTTTGATATGGAAGAGTGGGGGTCTCTACCTTCTAACAATTAAGGCACAGGTGCCCAGACACTGCAGTAACATTAAAGGGCTGAAGACAGTAATTTAAACCTGGTATACAGAACTACATTCAGAGGGCAAAGGTCAGGTAGAGTCCATGTAATATCACTGCCCTCAAACTAACCCAAAATCCTAAAAATTGAAGCCAGAAATTCCAAACCCATTTAGCACCTACATGCCACGTATTCTACTACAGATTTATATATACAAATTTATATATAAAATGTATATTTTATGTTTATAATGGGAAACTTATATAGATTTATTTATATACAATGGGGGAAAAAAAGGATCTAGAAGAAAATTTTTATGGGAAAGGCTCCAAGACATCAAGGGATGACAGAAATCTAACTACTGTTACTTCTCCCCAACATACATCTTTCCCCTTTTCTTGGGCAGTCTGAGCTCTCAGGATTGTAATTCCAAACATCTCAAACTAGTTCACAAAAATCCATCCCTTGACCACTTCAAACAAGACGTTGCTTGTGGAATGGGCATTCAGCCTAGGGTTATATATGCGTTTGCTTCTGAACTCTCGCTCCTGTGGCTTCCTGCGAACGCAGACTCCGGGAGGCAGCTGTGGTAGCTCAATTGGTTTCTGCCACCCATGTGGGGGACCTGGATTGAGTTCCTGGCTCCTGGCTTTGGCCCTGGCCCATCCTGGGGAGTAAACCAGCAAATGGGAGCTGTCTCCGCCCCACACCATAAAAGGTATTCTTCACCCACAGCTCCAACCCCTCCCACCTTGAGTGGATGGGCAACAATCATGACAGACTCTAAGTTTCCACAAATCATTGGTTTATTAGAAAGTTCCTTTCCCTCATTTTACAGCATATATATCTCTATCGTATGTGATAAAGTTAAATACAATCTGTTATGCTTGTAAGTAAGGATAGGTTATTTTGTTTGTTTTTTAAATCACTATTCTCAAAGTTAAAGAAAACTGCCCCCAGGAAGGCAGAGAGGCGGCCAGAGTACGGCTCAATCTACAAGCTAATGGGAAGCAGCATGGAAATGTTAATACTGTATTATTTAAATATTTACATGGGCTAAAAGAAAAGAAAATGAGTCCCTTCACTTCAAACAGATGATTTCATTTTCCCAGTGCTAGTTATCCAAAAAGTGATGCTTCTGATTCATACAAGGAGCACCGAACAGGTAGGAGGCAGCGCAGTCCAGAGCCTTGTCTGCTCATAGACTCTAAACCTTTTTTTTTTTTTTTTTAATTTTGGGAATTTGAGAAGAAAGGCAGGAACACAGAGCCTTGGCCCAGGTAAGTCTGTTGCCTGTCCTGTCAGTTGACCCCCAGCCAATTCTAGCCACAGGAATACGTGGGGAAACGCCCAAGAGGGAAGCATCGGCTACACCAAGGCTAGGGGAACTGCCACACGAGCAACTCTGCGTCAGCGTCAGTCAGGGCTGAGCTGGGATGGAAGGCAGGAAGAGGGGAGAGGGGCTCAGATGAAATTCCTCTTGTCAAAGTCATGGGAGAAAAGAAGAAGAAGAAAAAAAAGGAAGCTTTACTGCTCAAACTGAGCTAGGCAGAAGGCATGGAATATGAAGCAAAAGAATCTTAAGTCTGTACACGTGCTCATCTCCCAACAACGGAGCCCCGCCAGCCCCCAAGCTACTTCAGTTTCTGGCCAACCCAAAAGGCACATGAAAAAAAGTCAGGGGGGCTAAGTACTAGGAAGGCAAATGCCGCCTGAGCGAGGTGCCCAGGGTAACTTGGGAATCTTCCCAGCTAATCACTCAATCTCTTCCTCCTCCTCTGTGGGGTCCACCTGTCTCTCAACAAAGCATGAGGAAGACTGTCCCAACCGAACACCCTCACACTCCCAGCTGAATGCCGACTGTTAGTTCAAAATCCCAGGACTGAGGACACCACTTACTTACTAGAAGACTTAACATTTTGCCCTAGCAAAAAGTTTTAGCATTTTTATAGTTCGTAACTTCAAAAAATACATGAGCTTGATAAAATATACATGCTTAGTCATTTTTGCATCTAGCAGAAAACAAATACTTTATTTTTGTTTTCATTTTATAACCTTTAAAGTTTCTTAATCCAACTAGGGCAAACATATTTACACAAAGCCACCAGAACAAGGATCACTTAAAGAGCTGAATGTAAAAAATATTGCAGTATACTACAAATATGGAACCTTTTTTATATGAGCTACAAAAAGCAGCATTTATGTTTATAGAGTTCAGTGCAATTTTTACATTAAAAATCCTATAAATTAAGAAGGAAACATCAACACAACAGAAGAAAATATCCCCTTCAGACACGCACGCTCCTCTCAGGAAGCACACGGGTGACTCTATGTTCCGCACAGCTTCTATTCATGATAGGATCTTCTTTCCTGGGATATGCAGATGCCTCTTCTGGGATGAGGGACATGAGGACAGCAGTGCCCAATGTGTGGCTCTGTTTTGTGGGATGTGGACCGACTGCAGCCTGAGTTGCATCTGGTTCTAGGACAGACTCCCTTTCCACCTCACCTGGGACAACGCCAGGTCTCCAAGGGCTGGTCAAAGCCAGAGGGACAGCGTGGTCTTCCTTGTGGCACTGAGAAAGCAAGACCAGATGGACCCATGACAAGTGCTTTGGTGACAACCCACCAGAGAAAAAGGAGGGATAATGCTTTTAAAATTTATAGGAGGGAAGAGTAGAGAATAAAGAGTAGAGGGAGGAGGGGACGACCTAAACTTGACAGTCTGGAGATGCCGCAGAGGGGTGGGTAGCACTTACGGGTGTTCCCTTGCTTAGAAACACAGGAGAGTGAGGGACAAATAGGAAGGAGGAAAGGAAAAAAATTTCCCTGATAGTAAACCCAAAGCAAACCTCAAATCTAAACCCATCCCTGCAAGCCAAAACTCGATTCTTTGGCTCTCAGACACTGCCCATTCCAGCTTCCACTTGCTGGTATCAATGGCTCAACACCCCCACAGGAAGATTTACCCATCACCTTCCCTAGGCTCCCACCCTCCAACTCATGTGCCATGGCTGGGGGGGTGTTGCAGGTCTTGACCTGAGAAGATGGGGTGAAGTAGTGGGTGAAGGTGGAGGGCAGTGGCCGCTGCTGCAGCAGGCCGTGGGGCAAGCAGCGTGGGGTAGAGGGCAGCATGTGGGACAGGGTGGAAGGTGAAGGGCCCAGGATGGATGGCAGAGGCAGGAATGATGTGGATGGGATGGCTAGCGAGAAAGGTGGCAGGGTGACCAGGGATGATTGAGTGAGTGAGGTGGGACAAGGAAATGGGGGTCAGGTGGGGCTGGGGAATATGATGCACTTGGGCAAGAGGCTGGGGGTGCGGGTGGGGGTGAATGCCAATGGCGGCGGCCGCTGCTGCAGCATGATGCTGCAGGATGGCATGCTGGACAGTCGTGATGGAGGTGGCGGAGGCGGAGGCTGGCTGCTGGATGTGGATAGGCTGCAGGGCTGGTGTGGCCGGGGCCAGGGCTGCTGAGGCGGGAAAGGCCTTCACTTGCTTGGCCAGAAGCTGCTGCTGGATGTGCTGCTGCGCGGCCTGCTGGAGCTTGCTGTACTTCTCCATCTCCTCGGGGGTGAAGGTGATGGGCTGGCTCTCCAGGGGGGCCAACGAAGCGTCCTCCGCCCCGTCTGTGGACTCCATACCAGGTTCCCCGCTGGGAAGGGCGTAACCAGGTAAGTGGTCAAGGTCTGGCGTGATAGGCAGCAAGCTGGCTTCCACAGGGCCTGGGTGACTACTGCTATCCAGGGCCTCGAGGGCGTCCCCGTCACTGGGGTCAGGGAGGTAGTTATGGGAAATGGCTGGGTTCCCAGGGTAGCAGTCAGAGTGTGGTGGGGTACCGAGCAGAGCCACAGGGTGACCAGCAGTAGCGTCTTCTGGCTTTGGCTCTTCTTGGGGTTGGTCTGATAAGGGACCAGCTGCTTCCTCTGAGGGGAACTGATGCCCAAATGCGGCATCACTATTCCCTGGGGGCCCCTCTTCTGTCTCTGACTGTTCTTGCTCTTCCCCCCTTTCCGAGCCAGCCTCTTCACATTTCTTGTTGGGCTTTCGGTTAGCTGGGAGCTTCCCTATCAGTGGAAGGACAGGCTTACTGCCGAGAGATGGGGGGAGTTTGGGTCCAAAGTAACCCTGAGGGGGGTCCTTGAGCTTAAGCCCAGCTTTATTAGGGGTGACCAGCACCTCCTCACTCACACTGGGTTTCCTCTCCACTCTCTTTGACTGGATCTTCTCTAGAAGCAGTTTGGCAGTGACAGAATTCTTGTCTTCAGGGCTACAGTCACTTTCTGATCCCCTTCCTGGGTCCGTGTTGCTGTTCTGAGAGGGTGGGCCTGTCCCCTTACTGTCATCTCCTCTGCCATCGTCCTTCTTCCCAGGACCTTCTCCTCGGCCTGATCGGAAATAGTGGGGGGACTGGGAACGGTAGATCTTAGAGCGAATGAAGTCCCGACGCCCAGAACGCCTCTCCTCGGGGCTCTCGTGACCCCACGATCCCTTTCTGGAGCCTGATCTCTGTGAAGGGCTCCTGGTGCTGCGGCTGCGGTCCCGGCTATAGCTCCGGCTCCGCTGCCAGCTATGGGCTGTAGTGCTGCGGCTTCTCCGCTTGCTCCGACTGCGACTACAACTGCTGCTGCGGCTGCGGCCCCGGGATCTCGAGCGCTCCCGGGTATGACTCCGAGACCGGCTTCGGGATTGGCTGCAACTGAGGCTATAGTCATCAGAGGAGGAATATTTATGTCGCTTGGACCGGTGCTTGGAGCTGGCATAGTCTGAGTCATCCGAGTCATGGGAGCGCTTGGAGTGCCTTCGTGATCGGTCACTATAGTCACTATAGCTGTCATCAGAGTAACTGCGCTGTCTACTGTAGCAGCTCTGGTCGGAAGAGGCATCTGAGCTACTGGAGTAGGAACGCCGAGAGGAACGGTGTGACGAATGGTGCCGGCCAGATCGGGAGCAGCTGCGGGAATGTTCACTGCCCGAATCTTCCTCTTCCTCCTCCTCCTCACTGTACTGGGACGGAGACTTCTGGTGTAGGCGGTGTGATGAAGCATTATCACTATCCTCATCCCCACTACTGGGTCGGCTCCGATGGCTAGACCGACTGCTCCGTTTGGGGCCAGCTCTTCGCTGGCAGGATGCAGCTGGAGGTTCACCTTTGTGTTTCCTCCCACCATGATCCTGGGAGCTGCTACCACCTGCACCGTCATCCTTCTTGCCACTGCTCCCTTCGTCAGCCGGGAGGGCTCTCCGTTGGGAATCATCTTGTGCTCGCCGCCGTCTTCTTGGCGGTGCAGGGCTGCCACTCCCAGGGGGTTCTGGTTTGGGTCCTCGCTCAGAATCAGCTGTGGCTGATGACTTATTCTTCTTTCGTTTTCGCTTCTTGCGCTTCTTAGACTTCTCCCCAGACTCTGCCTTAGAGCTTTTCTCTTCTGCGTCAGTCTTATGTTTCCGTTTGTGTTTGCTCGATTTTTTGTGCTTCTTTTTCTTTTTGTGTCGGTGAGACTTCCCAGATCGTTCTTTCTTGCTGGGGAGGCTTCTCCCTGTGTCTTCTGGCTCGGACCCATGGCTGCCCCCAGGCTCCTGCTTGCTCAGGCTGCTACAGGCAGATCCTGATACAGGTGCATCCATTCTGCCTCCCGAGGAATGCAGCACATTCTCGCACCCTTCCCCGCTTTTATTTGGTTCACCAGGATCAAGACCTTCCAGATGGTCCTTTGAGGAGCCTCCACTATCCTTTGGTTTTTCTGTCCCTTTAGCTCTGGTATCTTTGTTCCGTGAAAGTTTAAAGTCAAAGTACAAAGGGTTACAGCTGTATGAGACGGATGGCTCCGCCTTGGTGAAAATCAGTAGTTCTGACGGCCACTGGAGGGCAGTGCTTTCATCTTTGCTCAAAACAGGGAAGAAGGGACCAGTGGGATGCTTGGGCCCCTCCTGACTTTCTTTCCCTGCTGGGGTGGCCTGAGAAGTTTCTTTAGAAGGGTTAGACTCACACAGTTGGTTCTCTGAAGTCTTCCGACTCTGGCTCTCCCCACTCTGCTCACTCACATCACTTCCCGAGGCCGTCTTTGTCTCCACTTTGCTCCCGGGCTCTGAGGGGGCAGTTGCACCGACTTCCTTCTGCTGCTCGGAGACTTCGCTAACTGTCTTTTCTGCTCCTTGGCTGGCTGCCACCTTGACGCAGCCTTTAGGTTTGGGAGAACTGCTTTTTTTGCTCTCCAGGGAATTCTTTGGGCGTGGACTATTTTCACCTTCCATTTGCTCACTGGCTCTCATAAACAGTAGGAAGGGAAAATTAGGTTTCACTTTGCAGTGTGCTGGGGGGATGTAGTGGTAATACTCTGGCTCTGTAGCCCCGGCTCCTTCTTCCCGCTTCATTTTTTTTAACTTGGATAACGTTGAGGCTAGGGATCCCCCATCCTGAGGCTCTTCATCCTCTTTCTTACCATCAAGATTACTGCTGCCATCAGAGTCTCCCACCTTCTGTGGCCCTTGGTCAGAACCCTTGTCATCTGTTTTTGCTCCGTCTTCAGAGGTCCCTTCCTCTGCATGGTCCTTGAAAACGGATGCTATTGATTCCAGTTTGACAGGAGCCTTCTTGGCAAAAGAAAACGACACTCCTAATTTTTGCAATGGGGTCCCCAGATTATTCTTAATGCCAAAGCTGATGCCTTGGGAGGCTAACCCAGTAGCCTGTGCTAGTCCAGTGGTGTTAGTGATTTGCACGGCAGTGAAGGGGCCTCCTTTATCGGTGGAGAATTCAGATCCCGGGCCACTGGCAGCAGTGGTACTAAAGCCACTGTTTGCAGCTGATTCATCCTTATCATCATCTCCTCCTTCTTCATCTACAGCCACTGTGGTGGGTCTGAACATGGGACCACTTCCAGGTGCACTACATAATGGTTTAGAAAAGTGAAAAACAAAAAAGGTTCAGGAGTACATTTCATATCTCTTAGTTTCTACTATTCATTAGGGTGGTTACTCTCTGGCCCTGTGCTAATGGACAGAACTTTCTTGGTAGAGGTTAGAAAAAGTCTCAATCTGAAAACCTAGCCAGTTATTGTTGTTTCTTCTTAAGCTGCTTAAACTACAAAAAGTAAAGTGTATCTCACAACTCAAATACCTCTTCACCACCATCGGGGGTAGTCTACCTTCAACTCTTTTCATCTGATTTCTTTTTATGTGTTTGAAAGGCAGAGGGACAGCGATAGACAGACAGACAGATCTTTCATCCACTGGTTCACACCCCAAATGCCCACAATGGTCAGGGCTGGGCCAAGTTGAAGCCAGGAGCCTACAGCTGTATCTGGGTCTTCCAAGTTCTAAGTACTGGGATCCAGGTACTTTAGTGATCATCTGCTACCGGCCCTGGATGTCCAGTCGCAGGAAGCTGGACTGGAAGTGGAATAGTCGGGATTCATATCTGGCCCTCCAATATGGGATACAGGTGTCCCAGGCAGTGGCTTAACCCACTGATTCCCAACCCCTAATTTCATCTCTTACTTTATCATCCTATCCAGCAGTATGCTATCAGAGTATAGGTTTGCATCTGTTCATCATCCTATCCAGCAGATTGCTATCGAAGTATGGCTTTCCGTCTGTTCACAGAGGTTATATTTCATTCAGCTAGAGAAAAAAAATCAAATTTCCCATGTGCTTTCAAATTTTTTTTAAAAAATAAGCTGTTTTTGAATTAAATGTCAAGACCTCTCTGTGCTACTCTATGGCAACCTGTGGTCAGTATGTCTGTCTTAGAAACTAAAAGTCTGGGCTGGCATTGTGGGTAATGGGTAAACCCATTGCCTGCAATGCCAGCATCCTATATAGGTGCAGGTTTGAGACCTGGCTGCTCCACTTCCAATCTAGCTCATTGCTAATGTGCCTGGAAAAGCAGTGGAAGATGGCCCAAATACTTGGGCCCCTACAACTCACATGGGAAACCCAGGTGGAGTTCTAGGCTCCTGGCTTCAGCCTGGCCCAGTCCTGGCTGTTGTAGTCATTTGGGGAGTGAACCAGTAGGCGGAAGACTTCTTTCTCTGTCTCTCCTTCTCTCTCTGTAATTCTGTCTTTCAAATAAGGAAATAAATAAGGGACCGGCTCTGTGGCACAGCAGGTTGAAGCCCCAGCCTGCAGCACTGGCATCCCATATAGGCTCTGGTTTGAGTCCTGGCTGCTCGACTTCTGATACAGCTCCCTTCTAATGTACCTGGGAAAGCAGTGGAGGATGGTTCAAGTCCTTGGGCCCTGCACCCACATAGGAGACCTGAAGGAGGCTCCTGGCTTCTGGCTTCACATTGGCTCAGCTCCAGCCATAGTGACCACTTGGGGAGTGAACCAGTAGATAGAAGACCTCTCTCTCTGTCTCTCTCTGTAACTCTGTCTTTCAAATAAACAAAATAAATCTTCACAAAAAAACCTATTTATAAAAAAAAAAGCTACTTGATTAGCTCAGTTTAAAAAAAAGAAATAAATAATATTAAAGAAACTAAAAATAAATAAATAAATAAACAATCTAAAAAAAAAAGAAAGTAAAGAAAAATTACCTATCTTATCTGAAATATTTAGTGTGTGGACTATACTTTTTTTTTTTTGACAGGCAGAGTGGACAGTGAGAGAGAGAGACAGAGAGAAAGGTCTTCCTTTGCCGTTGGTTCACCCTCCAATGGCCGCCGCGGCTGGTGTGCTGCGGCCGGTGCACTGCGCTGATCCGAAGGCAGGAGCCAGGTACTTATCCTGGTCTCCCATGGGGTGCAGGGCCCAAGCACTTGGGCCATCCTCCACTGCACTCCCTGGCCACAGCAGAGAGCTGGCCTGGCAGAGGGGCAACTGGGACAGAATCCGGCGCCCCGACTGGGACTAGAACCCAGTGTGCCGGCACCGCAAGGTGGAGGATTAGCCTAGTGAGCCGCGGCGCCGGCACTAGTGTGTGGACTATACAAGTTATCTACTTGAATGAAGCTCTTGTTATCTGAACCCAACCTACCAGCTGTCCTCAACTCAGGGACCAAACATGTTCAGATAACATGGTATCTCTTGGTATCGGAACTGCTGCCATTGGACGGTAGGAACCTAATAGATCTGAATAGCAAGACATACTTACATTGCTTTATAAAGTATACCTGACAGCAAAAACTCAAATCAAATGAAATTTCAAAATCTTAAACCCTTCAAATGGAATTAAAAAAAGGGGGGTGGTATTTATTCTGAACTTTTGCTCAGTCTTTGCCATGTTACTTCAATAGCATTTACTATGGGGTCATGCCTTACTTCTAGGATAAAGGAATAGCTGATGGTGGATCAAAAATCTTTTATTCTCCTGCGATTACTTGGTCATCTTTAAACTGTTCACATATAAAACTGAGAACAAGAGTCATTTCTTGTAGTAAAAAATGTATTAAAATATGTCCTAAGCCAGAAAGTGGCCTGGTGTGCATATTTTGAGAAGACAACCTTGTAGTATATCCAGGAGGAATGAGCTGACTATAGAGCTGCTGGGGCCAGTGCTGTGGCCAAATATTGGGTCTCTAGACTCTAATAACTGCTGAGAAATTCAGCCCTCGGTGGGGTAAATTCCACCTAAAGCTAAATATTAGTGAAAAAAATTGATAATAAATGAAAACCATGATGGAGCATTAAAAAGAACATTCAAGAAACCAGCATGAAAATAAATGGAATGCTGTAGATTTTCAAGTATTTAATATTAACTATATAATACTTAAAAGGCAGTTATAACACCTGAAGCTGTGCTTCAGTACCTTTATGTTATAAAGTAGAATGCTGGGGCTGGTGCTGTGCGTAGTGGGAAAAGCCACTGCCCGCTGTGCTGGCACCCCATATGGGTGTCGGTTCAAGGACCAGCTGTTCCACATCCCATCCAGCTCTCTGCTATTGCCTGGGAAAGCAGTAGAAGATGGCTCAAGTCCATGGGCCCCTGTACCCAAATGGGAAGACCTGGAGGAAGCTCCTGGCTCCTGGCTTCAGACTGGCGTAGCTCTGGCCATTGCGGTCAATTGGGGAATGAACCAGCAGATGGAAGACCTCTCTCTTTCTCTGTCTCTCCTTCTCTCTCTGTGTAACTCTGACTTTCAAATAAATTTTTTTTAAAGTAGAATGCTTTGCTTTTCTATTTAAATGAATGTTGGAGAATGGGAATACCAGTAATAGTAGTCTCACTTACTGATATATTGAGCCAACCTTGATAGGCTAGACACACTTTTAAGCACTTCTGATATAATAACTGAATCATTCCCCAGAACTGTAAGAAGTAAATTATCATTCCCATCTTACAGAGAAGGAAGCAGAGCAACTGACAGCTAAGACACAACAAAATTACAGATTGTAAAGAGGATCTGGCTTCAAAAGTGCATATATTTAATTACTACATTAGGGGCTGACCCTGTGGCTTAGTGGGCAAAGCCACCACTTGCAGTCCTAGCATCCCATATGGGTGGCAGTTTGAGTCCTGGCTGCTCCACTTCCGATCCACCTCTCTGCTATGGCCTGGGAAAGCAGTAGAAGATGACCTAAGTGTTTGGGCTCCTGCACCCATGTGGGAGAACTAAAGGGAGCTCCTGGCTCTTAGCTTTGGAATGGTCCAGCTCCAGCTGTTGCGGACATTTGGGGAGTGAACCAGAGGATGGAAGACCTCTCTCTCTGCCTCTGCCTCTCGGTAACTTTGCCTTTCAAATAAATAAATAAATCTTTAAAAAATCACTATATTAGACTGCAAGTATAGATATGCTTTTTGTTTAAAAGAAAAATTTATTAAAAATATTAAGGCTTGGCTGGCGCCGTGGCTCAATAGGCTAATCCTCTGCCTGCAGCGCCGGCACATCGGGTTCTAGTCCTAGTCAGGGCGCCGGATTCTGTCACGGTTGTTCCTCTTCCAGTCCAGCTCTCTGCTGTGGCCTGGGAGTGCAGTGGAGGATGGCCCAAGTCCTTGGGCCCTGCACCCGCATGGGAGACCAGAAGCACTTGGCTCCTGGCTTCAGATCAGTGCGGTGCGCCGGCCACAGAGCCCCGGCCACAGCGGCCATTGGGGGGTAAACCAACGGAAAAGGAAGACCTTTCTCTCTCTCTCTCTCTTACTGTCCACTCTGCCTGTCAAAAATAAATAAATGAATAAAAATTTAAAAAAATTAAAAAAAAAAAAAAGAGAATTATAAGCTTTAAGATTTTTTTATTTGAAAGACAGAGTGTTACAGAGAGGCAGAGGCAGAGGCAGAGAGAGAAGTCTTCCATCTGCTGGTTCATTCCCCAAACAGCTGTAATGGTCGGATTTGGGCTGATCTGAAGCCAGGAGCCAGGAGCTTCCTCTGGGTCTCCCATACGGGTGCAGGGCCCACAGACCTGGGCCATCTTCTACTGCTTTCCCAGGCCACAGCAGAGAGCTTGATCACAAGTGGAGCAGGGACCGGCACTGTGGCATAGCAGGTAAGGCCGCCGCCTGCAGTGCCAGCATCCAATATGGGCACCGGTTCAAGTCCCGGCTGTTTCACTTCCAATCCAGCTCTCTGTTATGGCCAGGGAAAGCAGCAGAAGATGGTCCAAGTCCTTGGTCCCCTGCACCCGAGTGGGAAACCCAGAAGAAGCTCTTGGCTTTGGACTGGCGCAGCTTTGGCTGTTGCAGCCAACTGGGTAGTGAACCAGCGGATGGAAGACCTCTCTCTCTCTCTCTCTCTCTCTGCCTTTCCTTCTCTCTCTGTTAAACTCAGACTTTCAAATAAATAGATAAATCTTTTTTTTAAAGAAAATATTTTATTTATTTATTTGAGAGGTAGAGTTACAGTGTGAGGGAGAGAGAAAGGTCCTCCATCTGCTGGTTTACTCCCCAAATGGCCGCAACGGCCGGAAATGAGCTGATCCGAAGGCAGTAGCCAGGAGTCTCCCATGAGGGTGCAGGGGTCCAAGCACTTGGGCCATCCTCCACTGCTTTCCCAGGCCACAGCAGGCAGCTGGGTCAGGAGTGGAGCAGCCGAGACTAGAACTGGCGCCCACACGGGATGCCAGTGCCAGAGGAGGAGGATTAACCCACTGTACCACAGTGCTGGCCCCAATAGATAAATCTTTAAAAAAAAAAAAAAAAAAAGGAAGTGGAGGAAGTGGAGCAGCCAGGACTTGGACCTGCACCCCCTATCGGAAGCTGGCACTGCAGGTGGCGGCTTCAACCATTACGCCACAGCACCGGACCCAAGGCTTATAATTCCTAAATCTTAAATCTGTAACTTTAAGACCTTAAGGATCATACTGATCTGTAAAAGCCTCTAACAGAAAATACGCTCACCATTCAGCTTGCTTTCTTTGCTCTGCCAGTTCGTGCAGTCTCCGAAGGGCCTTTTCTTGTTTCTTCTCATCCTTGCGGGATCTTGAGGAGACATTTCGGGCAAACTCTCTCTGTTTGAGATCTTTTAATCTCTGGGGTAACAAAAAGAAAGGAAGAGAGGGTGGGTGATTTAGGTTACTTGGGGATCTGAAAGTAAAGACTTTAGACTATTTACCCTCTACCAATGGTTATTATACTAGTGGACACATTTTTACATTCTCTTACAGAAACTGAAAACACAATGGTTGATTACTTTGGGTAACACTTGGGAGTATCTGCACTTCTAATTAGGATAGCTGCTTTATTAGGCAAAATAAAATGATTTCAGAAGCAACAAGCAAATCTGAGAACACTAGGAAGAAAGAAAAGGGACTATTTAATCACCTGCACTTCCAAGATGCAAAACTAGACAAACGGACCATGAGATAAACTGTAATAACACAGGCCAAAGAGAACAGAAAGGGGTTAAGCTAGTACAGAAAATCACCCAACTGAAACATCTTAAAAAGCAATGTACAGCTTACATGGGGAGGTTATCTGAATCAGATCAAATAGAAAACATACTCTCATTTCACCATAAAGAGGTGTTCTTTTTCAGCATGAACAGAAGTTTCCTGTAACTGTTAAACAAACCCAACAGAGGCCTTCCAATGTCTGACCACTTTCATCTGGTCAGTCTGCTGAAATTAGAGAGTAGTGTTTAGTTTCTCACTCATTAATGGCCCTGAGAGGAACATGCTAAGGATGAAAGGGGAGAATAGAGACAAGCTGAAGATATTATTTAAAATTCAGGTAACAGAATGGGTCTTTTATCCTCAGAAGATACTGTGTAAGTTTCTTAAAACAAAAGAAATAACAACCAAAAAAGAAAAATGCCATGACACAGTGGTGACCAAGTCCAGACATATCTATCTGTGGTGAAGACAGAAACAAAATTTTCAACACACCAGATAATATAAAAAGCAAATAAAACAAAACATATGTATTAGCCTATGATTTCACAACAGCATTGGGAAAAGGAATTTGACCCAATATAAAGTGGACATTGCTTTGTGGAAAGGCATGGTGTTCAACAGACAGAGGAGTTTTCTTACCTAATACTTATGAACTGTATTTTGAATCTCTTTGAATTGGGAGGGGGAAAGGGTGGAAAGACACACACACAAAAAGATATACAGCTAAAGACACTAGTAGAAAAACTCACTCTTGTGATCTGGGCTCCCAAATTAGAAGGATTTGCTTTCAATACATCAGCTGAAAATGTCACATCACAAAGGAAAAAAAAGTAAAAAATAAAACAAGAGTGGAAGAGAAAAAAAAATAAAGCAAGCATTACTACACAAGCTCTCTCAGTGAATCTGTAAACTGTTATACTGAACAATCAGAGACAAAGCCGTCAACTCTAAAAGGGCTGGGAGAAGGGAAGCACCTGTACAACACATACAGTGTACATACACACAGACCGACACGCAACCCCACCTGGAAAACGGAACTATCTATACAGCTTCCAGGAAAAGGGCAGTAAACTTTGGAAAAGACTACTGCTATCTAAAAGCAGAGTTTTGTTTAACATTTACCTTTGTTTTGGGGAAGTTCACAAAACCAACAGCTGGCAAAACTGTTATTGAGGCTAGCAGTCCATAACTAAACATTTTTATAAAACCACTTCAAGATGGAGGACTAACTATTTTAAGTAAAATAGGAATTTCAATTTCCTCCTTCTGAGGGGAATGGGACAGACAGTCCTATTGTGTGATTATTCTAGACTACAAACCTAGTTTTTTCTTCCTCAAATACTTAATAGGCTCTCTGGCCAAGATTTAAATAAATTGTGTGTTTTTCTCTATTTGCCATCTTCTCCCTAGATACTTGGTAAGCCTGGAAAAGTCCCCCATGCCCAGAAATTTCCTCTCCTCTTACAAATATTTCATCACTTTTGTGAGGCATTACTCAAACTATAGGACACTGTCCAAAAGAGCAATTGTTTTATTCCAATCTGGAGTCTCTAGGCACTCAAAGCAGCCACTTGATACATTCCTGAAGCTGAGGGACTAGGACTATATCCACAACATCCTGAAGATATTCAAACTGCTACCTCAGATATACAGTTGGAGGTAGAGATAAAGAAAATGAGATGATGTCAAAAAACAAACAAACAAACAAACAAAACTACTGCCTCTTCACAGGCCCAGCAAACCAATCTTGGTATTCTATAAGGTACAGCAAGCATTCCCATACACCTTTAGAAAATTTCTAATCAAATCTGGGGTTTCAAAAGTAGAAAGGGGAACCCCAGAATTCTAACTTTACCCTTATAGACAGACTCAGCAAACTCTCCCAAATCCAATATGAGTATCTGAGGTCTCTCCAATGAAGACATTCTGAAGACAAAAATGGCAAGACATGGCCAAGGTTCCTACTTTCCTTTACCTAGAATGGATGCCTAAATCCAAGTCTCTCCTTCCTACTTAAGGTCAAACTAATTTCCCTTCACAAAGTCCTTACTGACCTTCTTAAGAACATGAGATTGTTGTTTCTGAACTGTCATAACAGGGTCTTAGCTCTCACTTAGCAATCACCATATTTTGCTCCGACTACAGTTATTCTAGACTTAGAAATCTGATGTGAGTTTTTTTTTTAAAGTCAGAAAAACTTTCCAAGTCATTTTACCTTTCTCAATTCCAGTTCCCAGATTAGAAAAAATGGGGCTACCTATCAAATTTTTGAGATTAAATGTCAAAATAAACATCAAGCATCTAGTAACTCCTAGAAGTTCAATCTTCGGAATCATTCATGCAGTGTATGCAACAGTACAGAGTAAGTCTACAGCAGGGATCAGGTAAATGTTCAGTGAACAATTTGGTTTCAATATTGGATCCTTGATTTTTCCCAAAACATTTTTTTCTACCAATTTAGGAAAGGTAGATATAGAAATATATTCAAGTTATATAATTGGTCTTCCTAGTTATTACTCTCAGTTGTCTCATGGCTTTGAAAATCTTAAAAAAAAAAATCCCAAATTTTAAAGCTCTTACTTCTGGAGGGAATTGGGTCAAATAGCAAGAATGATGCTGATCACAAACTTCTAGATTTCCCACTAAAAAGGTTCAAGTCTTGGCTACTCTGCTTCCAATTCAGTTTTCTCTTAATGCACCTGGGAGGCAGCAATGATAGCCCAAGTACTTAGGTCCCTGCCACCCATGAGAGACCCACATGGAGTGCCAGGCTTCTGGCTTCCGCCTGGACCAGACCTGCCCGTTGCAGACATTTGGGGAATGAACCAGAGGATGGAAGCTTGCTGTCTCTGTTGCTTTGCCTTTAAATAAACAAAATGGGATAAAAAAGGGCTACTAGGCCTGGCTCACTTGCCACTGAATGTTCATGTGCAATTTTTTGTATTTGTACTTCTCTCTTATATTCTAAAGAGGTACACAACTTTAAGATAGTATCTTCAAGGGACAACAGAGGAGCAACATGTCTGTCAGAAAAGAGAGTTCACATAAACAGACTGAAAAATTATATATGTGTTATCAACACAAAAACTCCTGCCAAAGGCTGAGCAAATTCCATACCATACAAAAAACTCAAGTTAGACTCTAATTTGGGACACAGTCTAATCTGAATGGATATAATTAGTAATTTAAGTTGACTTAAAAGCTATGGTTATTACCTTATCTCTGAAAATTATAGTATGCTTTCTGAAGAGCTAAATTAGCTTATTTTATCCAACTACTTAAAGCCCATTAACAAAAAATACATCACATAACATGTTTAGTTAAAAAATATTTTGATTCAAGGAAAGGAGATTGAATCTCACTCAAAATGAAAGGACTTTAAGACTTTTCCTAAAACTTCACTAGCATTCCCTCCCCCCACAAAAAACCCTCAAATTTGTAATCTAGCACAGAAGGGAAAGACAATTTTCAATTGATCCTCCATCACATGGTGGCTGGGATTTCCATTAAACGTCCCAACAGACCACTATAGAGTGAAGATGTGAACAAAGAATCCAGTACCTAAAATACCCACCAATGTTAACTGAGGCTCTTTGGGTTAAAACCACTTCAAAAGAAAGCTTCAAATGGAAGATGTTATTAAAACACGGCTTAAACTGCAGTAGGCTGGCAGAAAAATGCCTTACTTTAAACACCAGCTTCTGCTCTACTAATTCTGAACTAATTAAGCCAGGAAAATGAGAATCTGATAAATCTAATGTGGGTAATAAATCTGCAGAATATAGGTACCAGTTCAAAATCCAGCTGCTCCACTTCTGATCCAGCTCCCTGCTAACATACCTTGGAAATCCACAGAAGATGGCTCAAGTGCTTAGACCCCTGTACCCGTGTGGGAGACCTGGAAGAAGCTCCAGGCTTGGCCTGGCACAGCCTTCGCCATTGCAGCCATTTGGGTAGTGGACCAGCAGATGGAAGATCACTTTGTCTTTCCCTTTCTCTGTAACTCTGCCTTTCAAACAAATCTTTAAAATAGCCTCTTTCTATAGCGGTTAATTAAAAAAAAAAAAAAAAAGATTTACTTGATTTACTTAAAAAAAAAAAAAAAAAGAGTTACAGAGAGAGAGAGCAATCGATCTTCCATTTACTGGTTCACTCCCCAAATGCCTCAACAGCTAAGAGCTTCATCTGGTTCTCTCACATGGGTGCAGGACCCCAAGCACTTGGGCTATCTTCTGATGCTTTCCCAGGCACATTAATAGAAAGTTGGATCAGAAGTGGAACAGTCCGGATTCGAACCAGTGCCCATATAGGATGCCAGCACTGCAGACAGCAGATTAACCTGCTGCGCCACAGCACCAGCCCCAGTGTGGTTAGAATTTTTAAAATAGCTATTGCTCAGTCAATAGCAAGAAGCAACACTGTTCCTGCTGAATTGTGTTTGGGCTGGGAATGAAAGAGACAGTATCTTTATATTTATGCAGTTTTCTCTAAAAATAACAAAGAAATAAGGGTCTGAGTCTAGTAAAAACATTTTATCTTTTGGTGCCACCCTTCTTTTTTCTATCAAAACAAAATTTGAGAGGCCAGCATTGTGGCACAGTAGGTTAAGCTGTTGCATGCAACACTGGCATCTCAATCCATCTTCCTGCAAATGAGCATGGGAAGGCAGCAGACGGCCTAGGAGTAGGCCCTTGCCACCCATGTGGGAGATTCTGAGAGTTCTGGCTCCTAGCTTCAGCCTGACACGGTCTTGGCTGTTGCAGCCATCCTCCTCACCGACACTGCCTTTCAAACAAATAAGTAAACAAATAATACATCTTTATACACAAAAACAACAGAATTTGCTATCATGAGTTTACATTTGGCTAAATATACTTTAGGAATAAGTCTGATTATCTTTCTCAAATATTTTAAATTTTTATTTCAATTTTAAGAATAAACCCATGTGAAAGGAATTTCAGGCCTCTGAAAGCAGGCAGAGTTTAAAGCAAAGTATTACTGATTGCCACTAAAACTTTTGGTCTATATTTACTGAGCTCTGAAAACAGGATTTTGTCTCTTTAAAGCATGAGTCAAAATATTATACATAGTTTCTTTCTCAGACCAGAGAGCAAGCCTACTCTACCAGAACAGTGCCTGACAGTTTTCCCTGAACTAACTCTGTTGTCTGGCACAAAAGATGCTCAGTTAACATTTATCAAATTAGTCTCATCTTTAAAGTGAATTTTCAGGCAAAGGAGCACACTCTCACACACACACACTCATGCATTATCTGTTGGTTATGAACAGAGGTGGGAACGAGGGTGAGTTAGGAAGCAGTAAGCTGCTTGCATCTTGACCTCTTTTCCTGGCTAAGCATAATCTGGCCTCCTTCCAATCATTTCCTATTATGTCATCAACAATCCTGCATATCAAAAATCCACAGCTGCTTCTCCCCATAGCTTTTTGCCACCTTCTGACAACACAGCATAATATGGGCCTCCTCCCTTTCCCAAATGAGGGAATCACGGTGTGGTTGTTGCCTCGTCAGGGCCCCAAGATTCCAGTCTCAGCAGCTGATGGTTTTGAACCATCCAGGACACCCAAGACATTACCATGCAGTGAGGGAAAAGACCGGGACAGAACAGAAAACTCAGCGACAAACTACCCATGGAAGGACTCTAGGTAATGGCAAGAAATTCGCGTTTCCTAGACAGCAGATGCAAATTCTTTGTTTTTGGCACATGTGTATCAATAAGCAATGAAAATTCATTTCATTCATTATCAGAGAAAACCAAATGTCTGGTAATATAGCAAATTAAACACTAATGTCAATTATAGTGAAAAAATGAGAAAAATAAAAATTCCTTTTTTGGGGGTCAGAGTACTATTGATTAGTCACTTATGACAATACTTACCGTTTATGCCCAATTATTCTGCAGCATAACTATTTTATCACTAGATAATCAAATTAATTTGTCATAAAATTATGTCATGTAATACTGATTTTGCTAAGCTCAGGAATTCCACAAAAAGCCTTAGAGATATGGTATATTCTTTAATATTATTAGATATGACTGCTTTAAAGTATTTTTGTACATTTATGTGTATGTTATTAAAAAACACACATATATGTAGCATATATTTTCTCTACAATCACTACCATGAAGATTTGGGCTTCTTTTACTTAGCATATTTTCAAGGTTCACACATGTTACATATACCGGTAAATCATTCCTTTTTATTGTCAAATATATTCCATTTTATGGATATGCCTATTTTACCATTTACCAACTGATACACACTTGAGTTGTTTCTACTTTTTGGCAATTATGAATACTGCTATGAACATTATTGTACAAGTTTTGTGTAGATATTTGCTTTCATTTCTTTCAGGTATCTGCTAGTCCTATGATAACTTTTGTCCTCTACGAAAAATCCGAAGGAATGTAACTGACAAGACCTGTTTCAGCCTAATGCAAATTGAACAGGAGCATCCCAGTTCAGAGATCTCTTTAACAGTACTGTCACTTACAAACTTACTATCACTTAGGGTACTTTACCTTTCAGACTACAATAGAACATGTAGTCTAATTCTCAAATTTCCACCTTATTGTATCACTGTGATGAGTTAACAGTTTACAAAGAGGTGAGCCTTCAGCTTAGCAGTTAAGACACCTGTATCCCACACTGGAGTATCTGGGTTCAAAATCTCACCTCTGGCTCCTGACTCCAGCTTCCTACTAATGCAGACCCTGGGAGGCAGTGGTAACTCAAGCAATTGGGTTCCTGCCATCCGCATGTGAGACCTGGAATGAGGTCCAAGCTCGCGGTTTTGGCCTGACCCAGCCCCAGAAGTTGTAGTTATTTGGAGAGTAAAGCTCATAGAGCTGGCATTGTGGCGCAGCAGGTTAAGCCTTTGCCTGTGATGCCAACATTCCATACAGGCAGTTCATGTCCCAGGTGGTCCTCTTCTGATCTAGGTACCTGCTAATGCACCTGGGAAAGCAGAAGATGGCCTGAGTGCTTGGACCCCTGCCACCCATAAGGGAGAGCTGAAAGAAGCTTCTGGCTCCTGGCTTTGGCCCGGCCCAACCCCAACCCCAAGCCCAGCCATTGTGGCCATATGAAAGATATCTCTGTCTCTTTCCTTCTCTATAATTCTTTCAAGTAAATAAATGAATCTTAAAAAAAAAAAAAAAAAAGCATACACACACAAGGAAAAAACTGCAGAACATGTATGAGGTAGAACCATTTTTATTCCTACTGAGATCTTGTGCCAAGATGAAGAAAGTTAAAAGCACAAATAGGCAAACTCCTGGTTTACCCTTACTCAGAAAAGCAGATAGCTTCTTCAAGCAGACATAGATTTTTCCAAGGTTAACTATGTTGTGACTGTTAAGCCTTAGCTGTGGAGGTTAGCATTGTGGAGTAGCTGGTTAAGCCACTGCCTGGGATGCTGGCATCCTATGAGTGATGGTTTGAATCTTGGCTGCTCTTCTTCTGATCCATCCTTACTAGCGCTCCTAGGAAGGCAACAGAAGATAGCCCAAGTGCTCGGGCCCCTGCCACCCATTTGGGAGACATGGATGAAGCTCCTGGCTCCTGGCTTTGGCCTGGCCCAGCACCAGCTGCTGTTGTCATCTGAGGAGTGAACCAGTGGATGGGAGACCTCTCTCTTTCCCTTTATCTCACTCTGCCTTTCAAATAAATAAAATAAATTTTCCAAAAAAAAAAAAAAAGGGGGTGGGGATTGTGCTGGATCAGAAGTGGAACAGCCAGGGTTCAAATTGGCACCCATATGGGAAGCCAGCATTGCAGGCAGTGGCTTTACCTGTTACACTACAATGCCAGCGCTGAAATGTACTGTTTCAGTTGGTATTTTTGAGGCTTTGGTATTTGTAAGTACTTTATGATGTTCCCAACAGGGTTTTACATCTTGCCAATAATCACTTTATGGTTTTCTAAGGATAAACAGTCTATAAACTCCCAAAATAGACAGTACTAATGGAACATCTTCATTAGAATCTGATTCTTGGTGGTTTCAATTCTTAGAAATGTCACTTTTGGGGGACTGGCATTGTTGGCATAGTGGCTTAAACACCACTTGCAACACCGGCATCCTATATTGGAATGTGGGCTGCTCCACTTCTGATTCAGCTTCCTGCTAAATGCACCTGGGAAAGCAGTGGAAGATGGCCCAATGACTTGGGCCCCTGCCACCAAGATGGAGTTCCAGGTTCCCTGCTTTAGCCTGGACCAGTTCCCGCTATTGTGGCCACCTAGGGAGTGAACCAGCAGATAGATTTCTCTCTCTGCCTTTCAAATAAATAAATCTTAAAAACAAAAAATAAGTCATTTATAAAAAATTTAATCCTAGAGTT